TGCCATTAGCGTTCTACTTTCAGAATAGACTTGATGGAGTGACCCAGTCCCAAGGAAATGACTATGCTCAAATAGCACCTGTCATGCATTCCATCAGTTACTCAATGCCCTGGGAGCCTGTTTTCTTGCCATTTAATTGGCATAAGCAGTAGCAGTTCGTTAAAATTCTTCAGAGTGAGTCTAGGCATGCAGTCTCACACACGAATTATGCTTGTAAACTAGTAAAAACCATGCATCGAAATCCAGAGAGCAGGTCAAAGAGATAGTACAGCCAGTAAGGTGCTAGCCTGGCACACAGCTGACCCTGGTTCGATCCCTGGCGTCAATAATATGGTCCCCCAAGTCTCTTTTCCCAGTGTTTTTAGATATTCATTGGCCATCTGGAGAATATTTATATGTTAACTGCTTATTAACACACTTCAGAGCAGAAAAAAAGGTTGAAAGGAAGCAAAGTGCCAAGAAGAAGGAGGGAACTGTGCCTGTCTAGTTAGCCAGTCTTACTATTTTATGGAATATTGGTGGTCAGAATTTTCACTTTCAGAAAGTTCAGCCTAATTTGAAATGTCCTTGCTGGTGCAGTGGATAGTCTGCACAGCCCATGAGGACCACGCCTGGAGTCCCCAGCTTCTTGGTAAACAGCTGCCAGCCAGGAGGTACCCGCTGCAGTGCCCACCCGCACCAAAGCTGCCCCCGCCTGCCAGATGTGATATGAGTCTGTCTAACGGGTGATGTTTGTCTTATTCGCAGAATGTGAATGGCATCAAGTACCACGCTAAGAATGGTCACAGAACACAGATTCGTGTCCGCAAACCATTCAAATGTCGGTGTGGGAAGAGTTACAAGACAGCTCAGGGCCTGCGGCACCACACAATCAATTTCCATCCCCCGGTGTCGGCTGAGATTATCAGGAAGATGCAGCAATAACATGCTGGTCATAACTGTGCCAAGAAATCCTCACCAGCAGTTGCTGATTTTGAAAACAGCCACCTTTTTTCAGGGGAAGCATTCAGCAACCCTTTAAAGAATTAAATGCATGCTTTAAATTTTTTCTGTAATTTTGGAATGATGTCTCTTTGTAGAGTTAATGATTTTGTACATTTGCACATGTAATCATCATATCCATTTTCATTACTTTGATATAAGGTGCTAAACAAACAACAAACAAAAAAGGCTCTAGGTTCTTCAGCACATTTCCCCCAAAATAAAATAAAACTGAGGGCATGTTGCATATTGTTTAGTTGTACTGCATTGATATCAACTTGGGGTGGGGGAGGAGGGGCTCGCACTGAAGTTTTCTTTCTAAGATTGTAATGTGATTGAAGTATTCAACACATCAACTCACTCTGTTCAAAACCAAAATACCTTCATTATCAAACTGGTTACCATGCCTTACATAATGGAGTTAGTATTTGTGAGTAGAAAGACTTTAGGTAATGGAAATATAAATAAGAATGTTTAACATAATATGCTAAAAGTATTTTCATATTTAAATAACATACATAAAAGGTGTGCTTTCTGTGTTTTATATTATTATCTTGCAGCAAATCTTTTTGCCCTTTAAGAAAAACCTGAAAACCTTGCCATCTGACTTACCAATTATTTTAGTGTTAAAAGTGGCATTTTTGTACACAAAGTAGTCTATTCAGTTCGCTCGTTCATAAGTTCGTTGAGTGCCTGCTGGGTGCAAATTTTCTGCCTACTGATAATTACGGACCAAGATACCAGTTTGATGAAATACTTTTCCCTGAATCTGTTCGGAAACACTTTGAAATACTTAAGTGCAAATTTGTGTGTGTGAAATTCAGTTCCCTTCATCTTTAGGTGAAGTCTTAAAGCACTTTGTAGTTCTCTATTGCCAACAGATTTAATGTTTTGTGTGTTGCCAATTCTTGCAACCACTGCCCTAAAAACCTATGGGGTTGCAAATCAGAATTAAAATTCCAAGCACATTTTATTCGGGAACATTTTTGTTAAGACCCCTATTGCCTCTTCATGCTGTGTTTTTCAAGTTTTTTAAAGGCACTTTTCTCACCACATCGTAGATGTCTGTATTCCCGCTGGAATGTCTGTTTAGCTTTATAAAACATTTTGCTGAAATATGAAATTGAGCCTTATTGACAATTAAGTGCTTCTTGCAGTCGGTGGTCAAAGAGTGACTAATAGATGACCCGAGAGTAACCGCGTCTGGACCATTCCTGAAGTTTTCTCACCGATACCATCATGCCTTGAGTGTTCTTTTCTCCCAAGTGCTATTCCTTAAACATGAGTTTACCAATTGCCGAATTATGCAATAAAAATTGCTTTGAGATGACTAACTGCCCACAAAACTGGTGAAGGCAAATGTGAACTGCTTATAAAATCGCTTTCTTTCCATGTTCCCATTTTACAAACATCCTACAGCTGGGAAGCACGTGTCCCCTCCTCAGTTTTTCAGACATTTTGAAAGGAAGACAATTCTGTTAGCCAAATGGGTAGCTTCTATATCTTAAGTTGTGAATCCCTCATAATGAGAGATTATCAAGTATTTATTAAAGACACTGCCCTAAAAAAATGTCCTCAGACCTGGGAAGAATCGTCTTGGTCCTGAATATGTATTTAAAAGGGAGATCCAGACACGAGAAGTAACTAGTTGGTGCATAAGAAGGCCCTACTTGGCTATTTCATACCTACCTACAACTGACCAAAACTTTTTTAAAAGGCCAGCAATTATTATTTAGCTTTGCTCCTTCTAGTGCAAGAAACTGCAGGCTGGATCAGTAGTTCAACAGCTAAACAAACAGTCATGAAATAGTCATGTGCATGTTAAATTTCTTTAAACTATAAAACAAATTCCAATTTCTATTTACTTATTCATTGTGACAGTATTAATAACTAAACAGGTAAGGATGGGAATATTTTGTTATACCGTGTATAGTGAATGTATTGTACTGTGTCTGTGAAAACTGTGCTTTAAATTATATTTTCATATGTTCTGTTGGGGACAGAGCACGTTAAGTTTGAAAGCGACAGAGGTTTGTTTTAGAACTGAAGACAAATTAATGAATCAAAATTCCTGTCAAGAAAAGCTGCTTACACATGTAAATGAAATCACATTTAAAATAAACTGCCTCTGACCCAAAGTAAATTTGGCTCTTTATTTTTATCAGCGTTCATTATGAAGACCAGAATCATGTATACACAGAAATGACTTTCTCCACATTTTACTGTTTATTCTCTAGGTTCTTCTGCCCACCCAAGAATTCAGTCAATGCATGTAAATTTTATTCCTCAATGTTTTACTTAGATTGTATGACTTACATGTCAATAACAAACTATAAATATAGGTTCAAAAAACTACTTACAAATGTGAAGAAGATAACCCAACAGGCCAAGAACATACTTTGCGTGATGGAGGCATCTTATCCCTCCCCATCCCAACAAGTGGAAATGACCCCCAAGTCAGGAGTATTGCCCTTAGAAACACTAGTGGCCCAAGCAATCTCATTTCACTGGTTAGGTAGTACTATAAAGTTTGAAGGATACTTACATTAGTGTGGTCTATAATTAGTAATGTATATAATCTATCTGGGGCTGGAGCAATAGCACAGGGGGTAGGGCATTTGCCTTGCACGTGGCCAACTGGCAAACCCGGGTTCGATTCCTCCATCCCTCTCAGAGAGCCCGGCAAGCTATCGAGAGTATCCCACCCGCACGGCAGAGCCTGGCATGCTCCTCATGGCGCATTCGATATGCCAAAACCAGTAACAAGTCTCACAACGGAGACAATACTGGTGCCTGCTTGAGCAAATCAATGAACAACGGGAGGACAGTGCTACTTACTATAATCTATCTGGAAATTAAAACATGGAAGTCTTTCTTTTTGGTTTGGGGGCCACTCTCAGCTGTGCTCAAGGATCACTCTTGGTGGTGCTTGGGGTATTATATGCAGCACGAGGGATAGAAAACAGGGTCAGCCATGAGCAAGAGCACCTTAACCCCAGTCTCTAATACAAGGAGTCATAAATTTTACAGCCTCCAGGTCTGGCAGACCCAACATATGGTATTAGAGAGAATGCCTAATACCTATATAGAAAGGCAATTCCTATATACCACCCCTAAATGCTACTAGCATGAGAATAATTAGCTTAACATCTTGGACAGCTGGTTTGCTTTGGACAAGGTTAAATATTTAGAGACTACAAAGGCAGTTCCCCAAAAATCAGTACGTAACAATTCTTAACAATTTATAGTTTAAAAGGAAAAGAAATTCAATTCAGAAATAATGATAAAGCCTCGGGTCTCCCCCAAAAAGATATTCCAAATGCTATACTTAATGAAAAACAGATAATCATGAAATTACATACCTCCAAAACTACGTTCTCTTTAATGTTAATATAGCAGAGACAAGGCACACACATTACTTTGGGCTTATACATTACTTGTTTAATCTGTTTTAAAAATGTTTTAGTCATGCTCTCATCGGGAAAATGTGATGTGAATACTGTTTTTGTGTGTGATTTTATGCCCAAAACCATTTCGATCATTTAGTGTAACAATAGTACTAACTTATCTTTTTTTTTTAATCTTCTCATTTAGCTAATAAATACCACTTCAAGATGCCTTAAAAAATAATCATTCATCACTGTATGACTGAAACCCATTTATGAACAGCTTTGTAATGGTCTATCGTATGAATATCCAATTAAAAAATTTTTTTTAAAAAGTAATGTGGAGTTCATGCCCAGCTCAATCAGCTTAATCAATGGCTGAATAAATAGCAGTACTCCTACATTAAAAAAAAAATAATCATTCATATTATTCTGGATTTTTAGTCATAGAATTTGCAAAATAAAATAAGCCTTCTACTCATAAAACAAACATTTCAGATACAGAGAGGATACCTGCAACACTGCAAGCATATAAATCTCTTTTTCCTGTGCAGTTCCATTTCCAAGGTTGAAGGATCATTGCCTGGTCTAAATAATGAAAGTTTCTGTATTCAAAGAATTACTTTGCAAGTCTGTTAGGATAAATTCCTTTTATTACATAATATGTAGTAGTCATGCTCAATCAACAAGGTCAACAGAAACTTGTAAATATTCTGCTAATAACATATTCCATTTTCAGCATGGTATAACATCAAAATAATTCATTTCCTTTAGTCATATAATCTTGCAAACTAGAGAATAAATTAAGATACACACAGAACTTCTTTTCTTAAAGCAGTTAAGACTAACGGAGGTTAAATTATATTTATTGATAAGCCAATAATAAGCCAAAGATTTTCCCTGACCCTAGTAACACCAAACTCAAAGTAACTCTTGGTCAGAAAAGTGCAAGAGAGGGTACAGGAAAGCGACACCCCTGGCATCCCTAGTAGTCTATTTAAGGTGTTTTCATTAACTGCTAAACTTTTAGCTCACAATAATGAGACTAGTCAAAATTTAAAACGTTCTGATCAAAATGGGTCTGCACGTGCCTTTCAAATCCCTGCTGGTCATAGTCGGGAGGGAACTGTTCACTGCACATCGGGCACACCTTCCAGTGGCTCTCAACGTGTTCTTCAAACTTGCTCTGATCATAGTTGGGAGGGAACATCAATTCACAGAGGGGACACTTCTTGTGAACATCAAAGCTTGAAGAACAGGAAAACGAAAACATCACATTCTGTCCAATAAATTTTAAAGAGCACTAATTTTCAGGATAGGACAAGGTTACAATTACCTTGAACTGATCTTCAAGATAAACAACGTACCGTGAAAATTTTCATTTACTACAGAATCTATTTATAAATGCTTGCTATTGAAATTGTGTAAGACATTTATAAAGAGTCTAAAGAGTCTGAATTTAATTTTGCATTTAGACTGACAAGACCTTTTCATTAAAACACTCAAAATAGAATCACTACATGAATTGAGGCGTCAAGACAAACAGTATTCAATTGTTAACCAACAGAAAGCGCTTCTGTGACACTACAAAGATAAACATAAATGTTTAGTGTCCAGAATGTGTTCATTTGCACTCAAGGACTGTGTGAGGGTATCAGAATCACCTAGAGAGTATGTTAAAACATGTGTTACTGGGTCTCACCACACCAAGAATTCAGAAGGTCTGAGGGAGGAATCTGATAATTTGCATTTCCAACAAGGTTTTAGAACGATAGAATACCACTGATCTGTAGCACCCAAATTCTATAATAAAGTAAAAATTACCTGGAATCAAAGCAAAAGCCTGTTCCATGACCACGAAAATGCTGACTTGAAGTGTCAGGAGCAATGGGCACGTTCTCATCTTCCTATGTAAATAAAGAATTTTGTAACTTCTGAGAAAAGTAAAACAAAAGAAATCAAAGTGTCTTAACTCAGATACACATAAAGGAACTAAGGTAATAAACTAACAAAGATTACTTCTTACATGAAAACACGAATTCAAAGGTTATCGGCACCCTACATACCATAGCATCATTATTCACAATAGCCAAAACCTGGAATCAACCTCAGCAAAAATATTACGTAGTTTTTCAATTTTGTTTTTCTAAGTTAAACATCAAGAAATATTCAACATTTGTCAGACAGCATAAGAACAACTAGTTCAAAATCATTCACTATTTCAGTGTTAGTGCAATATTCCTTTCAGTAACATTTAAACTGCATTTAGGACTGTTGCTGAGATCCAAAGGTGTGCCTAAAAAAATCTATGTGAAACATGAATTGAAGGTGAGGTGACTCAACCAGCCTAATGCCAAGGTTTAAGAAGTCATCCAGAGGTCAGCAGCCACTCATATGCCATTAGTAACTGTTTAAGAATGAAATTAAAACATGACCTTATCTTTCAAATTATATTATTATTTCCTATACTATATGGTTAAGATACGACTGAATTCTTTTTAAAAAATAAAACTCAGACATAAAGGGTACCTCAAGTGAGAAACTGACAATCTCTAGCTGAGTCTATTTGGCACGGCTTCACATAATCAAACTTTGGGGTTCGGTCTGGCTGTACCCTTCCCTCCCAGTTCAGTGATGTGAGTTGAAACCAGCCAGGTAAGGTTTCCTGCATCCTAAAATAGTAACAGCTGATACCAGATAGGGCTGCTTTGAAGACCCAACACGTTACTACACCTAAAGAACTAAGCATCAGCCAGCAAATAGCTAAAGAAATATTTGTTGCCCTGACCATCATAATAATTACAATGTTATAGTTATTGCTCTTGCAGCAATAGAAGACTTTAGACCTGATACTTGACCACTGTTTCTGATGAGAGGGAGAAATGGAAGGTAGATGACTGAAGCAGGCTGAAAGAGTCAGAAGCTTCAAGCCTGACTCAAAGACACTGGGTCCCTATGACTGTTAATCATGCTCAGGGCAAAGAACCAGAGAAAAATAATAGGTCAACTCAAATCTGCCTTCTGTTATAAAATTATACTAAGTACTTCCTTTCCCTATGATTTTTGCTGTTGTAATGACAAGAATTCTTTTTTTAAAGACAAGGTCTGAATGTACATAAAAATTAGTTTGTCTAATGTGAAAAATCTCTGGTTGCAAAGTAACAATTACCCAAGTTGTGCCCATTAAGAGCCCTTCCATCTCATTATCAAATCTAAGCATGTCAGCAAATGAGCACAAGACTCTAACACTGCTTCTCTTGGGTTTGCAGGAGGGCAAAGCACACAGATCAGAAAGAACATTCTGCTAATTAAACTGAAGCAGAAGACTATGAAGGAGAATGGTTTGCCACATGTAACATCCGTGCCAAGAACGATCGGATTAAATATGCAAAATGTGAAGTAAAGGTGTGAAAAAGCAGTAAGATGATCCTCCAGACCTTAAATAGGTTACAAAAGTTCTGACGGTTTTCCTAATTATTCCCAGTAATAGACATAGAAGGCCAAAAGGCAGGAGGGAGAAATACATTTTTCTCCATTATGAGAGTTGAGCACTAGGGCTAAAATCATGCCTGTCTGAACACTGATCAGTTTCTGCAAAGGTTAATAGCAATTAAATGCAGCAAACTAGATTAAATGAGAAATAGGTCATGATACTGCTATACTTGCAAAGAGCAAGATAAAGCATTTCCTTTCAATTCATCTTCATACACAGGAAACCTAAAAGAGAGCTACTCTGAGGGAAAGAACCTATTAAGAAAAGCGAAATCTCTTAAATTAATGATATGCTACACAAACTATGTAATTCAGTAATCAACAGTATTGCATTGCTGGAAAAAAAAACTACTAACAGATGTCTGAAATATTATGGGAAAAAATGTGACATATACACTTTTCTCTTTATTCCAGCTAAATAATGTACCTTAAAAGTTAAAGTGGGATATAAATACTAACATTAAAATGTGCATACTTCAGAATACTGTCACATTTTATTTCTTCAGGACCAGTACACCTACAATTTAAATATAGTAAGCTAATTTAATAGGTGATGGCCAATTTTTATCTGTCAAAAGAGGCAGTATACTGGTAAGGCACTTGCCTTCACCACACACAGTCCTCTGAGCCCTGCCAAGTGTGATCCCTGAGCAGAGACCCAGGAGTAGGCCATAGTACAGCCAAATGCTATATCAGCCCTCTTCTCAAGCACATATACATATCACTTTTTTCCCCAAAATCAAGAGATCGTGTTTATCACTACATCCTATCTTTTCAGCACATAATTCTCTACATAAGGCAAAAAATTTAAAAAAAAAAAAAACACAGGCTCAAAAATAGAAAAAACGATTTACTTTACTATCTTCAGGGTCTTCTAAACCATCAGGTCGACTAAGGTTCCGAGCAGGCTGACTGCAGACAACATTGTCTTCCAGTCCCCAGGAGGGGACTCTCACAGGAGGTCTCTGGATTTCATCTGGGTAAAAAGCACCATCTGCTCCATCTGCAATAAACATTTTCAAGTAGGGTGACACCTGCTACCTGAGCAGCTCTTTCTATAGTAGGAATGGACAAGACACAAAGAACCATTTTAAGGTAAGTGGCTTTTTAAATAAAAACTGTATGAAGCAAACATGATCATTAATGATACTTATTTCCCAATAAAGCCAGGTGGTATTGAATATTAAAACTGCTTTTTATAATGTTTCTTTTAGAGTTGATTGTACCAGTAATTTTCTAATCCAGGGAGGAGTTCTTTTAAAAAGGCAATACTTTAGTGACCTCTTATTTCCAGTGCTGCATAAGGATTCCCATACTGCAGAACAGGCTGTGTAGTCGGGACGGCAGGAAAATGACCATTCTGCTCTGAGCATGCGCTGAGAAACTGTGAGATCCTCTGTGGACTCTGGGAATTCTGACCTTCCATCTTCCTTTCTGCTGGATTTTCTAGACTTCGTCTAATAAGTTCCTAAATTAACAAAAATATAGCAAGAAAAAATAATCACATTATTTTGTAACAAAGGCAGCAATTAAATATTTAGTTAAATAAAACAATATAATTATTGGGGCCGAAGGGATAGTACAGCAGGCAGGGCACTTGCCCTGTTGGAGGTCAACTCGAGTTTCATCCCAGGGAATCCATACGGTCCTCAGGCCTGACTAACTCCTACCCAGTGCTAGGAGTAAGCCCTGAGCACTGCTGGGTAAGGTCCCCAAACCAATACACACATAAACATATATATGACACATATTTATATATACATATACACAGTAATTTCCCTGTTATGTTTATACAGTTGATACAATTGGTAAAACTAGTAAGATTTAAGTTCTTGAAATTCCCTTTACACATATAACAAAATCAGAGACCGGGATGAGGCCAATATATTTCCAAGTTTTATGTGTCAAGAAAGTGTCTTTTTTATTTTTTAGCATCACACCCAGTGTTGTTCAGGACTTGCTCTCAGCTCTGTGCTCAGGCATCACTACTTGCAGTGCTCAGGGAACCATACAGAACGCTGAGGATCAAAACTCATGTCAGCCATGAACAAAGCCACAGTCTGCCTTCTGTGTTTCACTCTGACCCCATGAAAGTGCCCTTTTTGAGCTACCTGAATAAACTTCCTACAAATAATCTACTAATAAAAGTCAAAAGACTGAAAAAATGTAATCCAGTTCATTTCCCAACACAATTTTTAAATATTTTTAATTAACAACACAATTTCATTAATTTAATGTAAATTAAAAAACTAGAAAAAAAAGTATTACCTTGATAGCAAATACACAGGAAAGCCACAGACCTCATCTCATAAAAATCACTGCAAAAATCCTTAACTTTAACAAATAAGTCAACAATATTTAAAAATGTAAAAAAAAGAAATCATCATGACTACGTGGGTTTTAACACAAAAAATAAATTTGGCTTAAATCCCAAATGTAATTCTCCATGTTCACAACTACCAAAAAAAAAAAAATACAAACATTTAAATATACAGCAGAAATGTTTTATTTAATAGTCTCGTGTGGTTTTTAAAAACTCAAACTGGAAAAGGAGTTTCTTTAATCTGATGAAATATCTACAAAAACTTACAAAGAACCTTAATGATAAAAATCTTGAGTGATTCTGCCTAAGATCAATAATTAGGCAATATGCAAAAATTAACTTTAAACAGCTAAACTTAAAACCATTAATGTAATTAAAGAAAAAGATATCTTTCTAGCATTGATCTAGGCAAATAAAAAAAATTTAAGATGGGATCCAAATAACACGAATCACTAAGAAAAATATTGATAAAATGGATCACTTCAAAATTATTCACAGTAACAAAACACCAAAAGTAATCCTAATATGCACTAAAAATAAAAGGATTAATGTATTTTCCCTAGTATAACAGGTAAGTCCTGTGAAGTTACACTGATATGAAGTGACAGTACAGTAACAGCCGATGGGCTGGTTTCTGGTATAGGGGAGTGATGGTTAAGTACAAATATCCACAAGAAAACTCTACAAAAATGTAAGCAGTCTATATTTTGCATGTAACGGCAGAAGAGAACTATATATATTTGCCGAAATTTATTACATTACACTTAAAATGGACAAATTTTATTACATGATAGTACCTCAATAGAGCTGTTTTTGAAAAAGCCCATCAGCGATCAGAGAGAGTACAGCAAGTAAGGTACCTTGTCTTGCACACCAGTGTCCCCAGCCCCCATGTGCCCCCCCCCCCCCCCCAGCCAAGAGGGATCTTTGAGCACAGAGCCAAGATAAGCCCAGAGCCCAGTTGGATGAAAGACAACAGAAATACTATGAAAATATTAAGAACATACAGGCAAATTTTTTCACCTGAATTAAAATTCAATCAGTTTTGTTGCTATCCCTAAGAAGTAGAGACAAGATTCTGTTGGTAAACTTTTACTTATATAAATGACCTTAAAGTGGAACGGCTTTAGAACAAAATAAGTCATTATTGTCACTGTCACTGTCCTCCCGTTGTTCATCGATGTGCTTGAGCGGGCCCAGTAACGTCTCCATGTTACTGTGTTTGGCATGTCAAATACATCACGGGTAGCTTGCCAGGCTCTGCCGTGCGGGCGAGATACTCTCGGGAGCTTGCCGGGCTCTCCAAGAGGGGCAAAGGAATCGAACTCAGGTCGGCCAAGTTGGCCTCATGCAAGGCAAATGCCCTACCACTGTGCTATGGCTCCAGCCCAAGTCATTATTATTGAGAGCAAAACTGGTACACATAACAAGGTAAGTCTTTTTAGCTCTGAGAAGAATTTACAGAAGACATTTAAAAATTACAGTTAGTACAGAATTACATGTTGGAGTTAAGTGAATGGTGAGCAAAGAGTGCAAGTACAAAAAGGAATGCTGCTACAAAGATAAGCTAAAGGTCAGATGTGCCACCCGCACACATGCAGTGTGTCACACCGTTTCACAACATTGCCCAAAGAACTCTTGAACAAATACGACATGACAAAACAGTACTCAGTAGTATCACTTTAGAGGTGTGATATCTGGCCTAACTGAAACGAGAATCAAATAAGCAGGGGGCACGAGATGACAAGATGAACTGAAACCAAACTGGACTAAATTTATCCAAAAGATCCTGTGCTAATAGTCCTAAAGAACTTATTTTCTCCAAGTGTCAGAGGACTATGGATTTTCCTACATCTCCTATCATGATACAAAACCCCAGTTACACTAATATAGTGAACCAGAATGAAACATTTCTATATTTATGCAAACATATTTAAAGTACAGTTAAGAACTTCTGTAAATAAATTCACCAAATTTTACTAAACTAGTATTTTATCTATCATCAAAGATGCAATAATTTATATACACATATATTTCAAAAATACTTTTTCATTCTCAGATGGAAAGCAGAACATCTAGAAATATGAAATGATTTAGAAAAATCCCTAGCAAGGTACCTGATGTCAAAGAACATTTGTGACAATTTTCAAATTTTTAATTCTTTTTTTTCTGGAAGTAAATAAGTATTCCTGATAATCTTTTAAAATTTACTATTTTGCATTTGCTTTATTACTTTATTCTATTTTTTCAAATTTTGAGCACTGGGTAGAAATTTCTAACAGAATAGAACACCTGAAGTTGTATGGATATGAACTGACAATTCCATATAGTAATTATGGAATGACATGGAAAAAAATCAACTTTAAGCTATTAGATTTCTTTAAAAATTCAAGTTAGTAGGGTTCTTAATCCCAAGATAGGAAAATTTCTTCATACTAATAAAAACCTACACATAAAATAGAAAATGTTCCTTTACATAAAGCTGTATTACCAGGGAATAAGGAAAAAAGTTAAAGACACTGTTCAATGGTGCCTTTCTAGAGAGATCTTCCAAATGTGTGTTAGACCATTTATTTTTCTTTCTTTCTCTATCAAGTGACACTGAATAAAGAAATAATTGTTCTTAAAAATAACTACTCTTGGGGCTAGAGCAATAGCACAGTGGGTAGGGCGTTTGCCTTGCATGCAGCCAACCCAGGTTCGATTCCCAGCATCCCATATGGTCCCCCGAGCACCGCCAGGAGTGATTCCTGAGTGCAAAGCCAGGAGTAACCCCTGAGCATCGCCGGGTGTGAACCAAAAAGCCAGTCAAAAATAATAATCTTCTGGGCCATGGATGTGGCTCAGTGGTAGAATACATGCCTTGCATATGTGAGGCCTCATTTAGCAATGCAGAAAAAAAAAAGATGCACACACACACACACACACACACACACACACTCCTCTTTGCATGCTTCTTTTTAAATGTCTCTGAAAACTCCTTCTATGCCTTCAAACTATTATCCCCATAGGAAATAAATCACAATTATTAACTCTTAATTTGCACTTTTCCCCAAGCTCCAAGTCTGTCACAGGCTGGCCCCTGAGCACAATCAAAATGAACATCACAACAAAGATTCCTTAATACTTATGCTTTAAAGTTAAACTGCAAGTAGAATTAGCTGTGACAAAGTTAAATTTTTTACAACATCCTGATCTTTAGTTATAAATTATGCAAATGAACTGTTGCTATTAGTTAGAAAAATATCTTTCCCGTTATTAACTGACAACATTGCTGAATTTTCCTCTAACAGTCATACAAACATCATGTACCACTTGGTCTTACCTGTTGCATAAATACACTGGCAAAAATGCTTAAAGACTGTGCCATTTTGCAGTATTTCATTCTGGGTAACAGGTAAACATGCCTTGGTGATAAATTTTAAAATCATATCAAATAACCATACTTGCTCTTTTCTTCAATATCCAGAGCCTAAATTATTATATTCGTAGTTATGTATAGCTTTGGGGGCCACATTTAGTGGTATTCAGGGGCTAATTTCAGCTCAATACTCTGAAAATGCTCCTGGTCCTGTTGCAAAGACTCAAGAGTGCCAGGAATCAAACCCTAGGCTCACATGTGCAGGGAGCGCTCAGAGCCACCTCAGGTATTTTTAAAAAGAGAATAATGAAATGATCACTTTTCAGCTTAACACTCAGCATAATGAAAAGGTACCAATTTAAGAGCCATCAATGCAAGCTACAATGGCTACATGTCCATGTTTTCTGTTAAATGAATCATACAACATAAAAATATGTAGCGAGATACATTTTTTATTAAAAGATACAAGTATTACACAAAGTTTCCACACTAACACAGTACACTTCGGGGGCCAAAGAGACAGTAGGGCTGGTAAGGCACTTAACCTCACATTTTCTGACTCAAGGCCACTCCCCAGCTCCACATGAACTCACCAAGGCACTGCCAGGAGTAAGTCCTCAGCACCACCAAGAGTGGCCAAAGAGGGGAGGGTGGAAAATGCACATTTCACTAATAAAAATAACTAATAAAAATAAGGTAGCATATTTTCAAAGGTACCAAGTATGATGCCTCAAATTACATGAGTACTATACTTACTCTGTAATTTTCTTGTACTTCAGCTAGTTCTAACTTTATATTTTCAGCAATTTTCACTTGTTCTTTCCATTTCAGCTCCATTTTTGCAAGTTCATCAGCATATTTATTGCATTTTGTTTTTTCATCCTGAATCAAATAGATTGAATTACCAGAAGATTTTAAATTCATATACCAACTATGCATATATATATGCATACTGAGAGTTTACTATAATTTTGTTGTAACAGTGCAAAAATTAAAAATAAATGAGAACCAACAGAAGTTTGCATTTTTTATATGCAAAATGGGATAGTCTATATTTATATTAAAGAACAAAGTAGAACTACATATTGTCAAGAAAAAATGTCCAGCTACATGAACCCAAAGCAGTGAGTTGCAAAATGTGGTATAATAATCCCATTTGTTTTAAGTTATTTTTTTATACAAATACGGGCCAGAGATAGCATTGCAGAGAGCGTTTGCCTTGCATGCGGCTGACCCGGGTTTGATTCCTCCACCCCTCTCAGAGAGCCCGGCAAGCTACCAAGAGTATTCCACCCACACGGCAAAGCCTGGCAAGCTCCCTGTAGCATATCTGATATGCCAGAAACAGTAACAACAAGTCTCACAATGGAGACATTACTGGTGCCCACTTGAGCAAATCGATAAACAACAGGAGGACAGTGCAGGACAGTGCTATACAAATATATACACTGTCCAGTATAATATGTATATAAAAGTTTAAACCAAAATATTAATTCTTATTTCTAGAGAGCAGGATAAGAATATTTTTTAACCAGCTTCATTTCTCTATTTTTAAATGACAGGATTTTATTATTGCAAAGGGAGACAATAAACACCATACTATAATGCCACTATTTCTGGTCACTGATAAAAGTTCCTAAGATAAAACTTTGGAGATTTCTTGATCAGACACTCTCTAGGCCATATTTACTGCTCTATAACCTACAACACTAAAAACAAGATATAAATATAAACCAATTTCATTATAAACTAAAAAACTTCAACAATACTAAATGAACTGAAAAATACTTAACAAGCCTCACATCGAACACAAAAATAAACATGGAATGGTTAATAGACCTACATGTGAAACTGAAATAAACCTTCTAGAAAAGACAGGAGGAAATTTGTACTTTTTTGTTGGAGTAGACAAATGAGTTAAGCCATTAACCTTTGATAAATCTTTTACTTACAAAAGAACTAGCTCACCTGCAACAGTTGTTTACATCTATTGTACTTTTCTGTTTTGTCAGCAATTTCTTTGGTCATTTCACAAACTTGCCCCTTTGCTGCCATGTCAAAATCTGTCTCAGCTATAAGAATGAAAGAATGAAAAAGAGTATTACAAATTACTTTGCCCCTATATTGTATTTCTGATCAGAAAACCTGAGGGCCAGTATACTGTTAAATATAATAAATGAGAACGATCTATTTAAAAGCATCTACTTACAACTAAAGGTACAACCCAGTTGCAGGGTCTACGTTTCTCATGAGGTACCAAGTTTAGTATTGGACACCACAAAAAAGTATCTTAAAACAGCTATTAATAGCCTAAACAAATGGGCCAGAGCAATAGTACAGTGGGTAGGGCATTTGCCTTGAATGTGGCCAACCCGGGTTCGATCCCCGACATCCCATATGGTCCCCCAAGCACTGCCAGGAATGATACCTGAGTTCAGAGTCAGGAGTAGCCCCTGAGTATCACTGGGTGTGACCCAAAAAAGAAAAAAAAAGTCTAAATAAACAAAAGAGGGTAAAATACATACTGTGAGATTTTTAATTTGATTTTGCTTTTCTAAATTGTCAAGCAACATAAAAACTGTTCTCTGTATCTAACTAGACAGGGTAAGAAAGTCTTCTCTGAGGAAACATTGTAAACAATTTTTAGTCTTTCATTATTGTTCACTTATTTTATTAAATATTCAATACAATTTGATGGAAGATACACAAATGAGAAAAGCAATATCCTACTGTGAAACAGGTGAAATATTTTAACAACATATGAAAATTTTACAATACATTTTTAAAACATCTAAAACTTTAATCACCCCAAAACACTGAACACTCCTCAAGGCAGGTCTGTGGTGAGATTTTAAAGGTCAGGGATGAGCAGATCAGTAGCCGTACTCATGCCATGCATGTATGAAGCCTGGGTTTAATCTCTGGCACAAGAAACAAAAACCAACAACAAAAACCCGGAAGACTTTTACCTGCAGAAGGTGGCGGCTTTACATCTACAGCGGAAGAAGCAGTAGCCGGGTCTGTGTTTATTGAAGCATCATGCACTTTCTGCTGGTTCCCAGTTTTCTTTGTGAAGGCATTATTATTATTGGCCTATTTAAACAATAGTTAAATGAATCACTGAATAAAGTACATTCCACTTTGTCGTAATTATATGACAAATTTTTCTACTACAAAGCCACAATAATGTTCAAACCCAAACCCATACATGTGGGTCATATTTTAAGTACAGTCTTTTTTTCTCACTAAAAGTTCTTAAGATCTAAAAGATCCCTAACTGCAGAGCCAGTAGGAAACCCTGAGCAACATCTAATTATGGCCCAATAACCAAAAAATAAACAGCTTTTGAAAAAGAAAACAAACATTTTAATTCTGCCTATGGACTCTCAAATGAAATGCAAGTAGCAACATTTTTTGATACTCTCCCTAATCCAATAAAAATGAACAGGATGGAAGAAGCCACAGGTGACAAATGAAAAACCTGTGTAGACCATGGAAATGACCAATGGTGAATCTAATGGGAACAAGTATCACTCTCACCAGAAGGAATTCAGTAACATACACTGAGCTTTTAACATTAACATAAAAATTTATAGGAAAATGGACATGATTTGTTGCCCCTTGTGGCCTTCCTTGCTAACTTGAGAAAGATAAAGAAGAAAAGTGCCTGCCACAGAGGTGGGGGCGGGGGGGAACAGGAGGGATAAGGGAGATATTGGTGGAAAACGTAAACTGGTGAGGGATGGGTATTGGAACATTGTATGACTGAAACCAGATCATGAGAGCTTTGTAACTGTATCTCACAGTAATTCAAATTTTGAACTGAATTTCAAAATTTCAAAACTGAACTCAATTTTTCTTTTTTTTTTGCTTTTTGGGTCACACCCGGCGATGCACAGGGGTCACTTCTGGCTCTGCACTCAGGAATTATCCCTGGTGGTGTTCAGGGGACCATATGGGATGCTGGAAATCGAACCTGGGTCATCTGCGTGCAAGGCAAATGCCCTACCCGCTGTGCTATCACTCCAGCCCCTAATTCAAATTTTAAATTCAATTTTTAAAAATTAATTTAATGAATTTTTAAAAATAAATTATAAAGAATTTCAGATTCCAAAAATTAATTAGGTCAGTTAATTTGCAAACAAAAATACTGATAAATGAAATATACACAAATTCAGTGAAACTTACTGATTGGTCTGAAAGTTTATTAATTTGTTTCTGAAGCCTCTGACATTCCTTGAATTTTTCTTTATAATGATCTGCTGCCATCTGAAGACGAAGTTTCAGGTCTTCGACCTCTCTTCTCAGCTCATGTTCCAGTGTATCGTTCTTTTCCTAAAAGAGAGAAACAAATACTTCCTCTAATAAAAAGATAAATACCCCTTATAACAGATGTAGTAAAATGAAATTTTTTCTTTTCATTTCTTTCTTCCTAACTTCAAATTTTTGAGTTTTGGCTACAAAATTACTTGGAATTATTAGCTCACCTAATAAATCCTATCTTAGGACTAAAGTTCATTGAAAACACTAGAAAATAACCAAAGTCTGCTTTACTCTGCAAAAATCACAATACTATATTATGCTGCGAGAAAATAAGATACTGCAAACAAAGCAATATAAACCTGACATCAGCAAGTTTAATTACGACTAACAGAGGAGCTTTTACTATTAGTAATTTGCCCTTACCCAAAAAGGTACATAATACAAATGGAAATTTAAAGTTCTTATTAATAGAAGCCTGACTTATTTTTACAAAACTCAAGTCTCCTTTGTGAGCATATAGTGGCCTTTGATTAAGTACAAATGCACAAAGTAAACCTGTCATTTACCTGGTCCTTTTTCACAGCACTCAGTTTCAGTTCTGCTACCACATCGGCTAATTGTTTTTTCACTTTCTCATTTTCCAAGCGAGCAGTGTGTAGATCAGCCATTGTTTTATCTCGCACATTGACAGCATCACTAAGTTCTTTAGCCAGAAAAATCACTTCCTGCCGAGTTGCCTGAACCTGCTCCTCTGCTTTACGAAGCTGCTCCTTTAAAAGAAAGGTATCCTCCTGACAAGATAGAAATGTATTCACAATTAAGATGTTCAAGTAAAGAAAAAAGCAGAAACTATCTGTACTCATATATTTCAACAGAAAAAAATTTTAAGTATTGATTTTCCTGTTCATAACTTAAAGTATTTAAGAAATTAATATGTGACTGTTTTAGATTTCCGATACATACAACCTTATGCTGTGGGTATTACTATTATAACTTTACACATTTTTTTTTTTTTTTGCTTTTTGGGTCACACCCGGCGATGCTCAAGGGTTACTCCCAGCTCTGCGCTCAGGAATTACCCCTGGCGGTGCGCGGGGAACCATATCGGATGCTGGGAATCGAACCCGGGTCGGCCGCGTGCAAGGCAAATGCCCTACCCACTGTGCGGTCTCTCCAACCCCCAATCTTCAATTCTTAAAAAAGGAAAAAAAAGTTAATAAGGGAAAAAGTATAAAGTTGTTACAGGAGATTGAAAACAGAACAATAGTCAAATTAATACTTCACTACCAATACAGAAAAAAAATTAAAGACTATAATATAATAATGTACCTGGGATGATTTTAATATGAACTAAAACAATATACAAAAATGAATATTGTAGTATCAACCTTACATTTAAGAAACAGCTTTTATTTTTATTTATTTGGTTTTTGACCCATACCTGGCAATGCTCAGGGCTTACTCCTAGCTCTGTACTCAGGAACCACTCATTCCTGGCGGCTGTCAGGGATATGGGATGATGGGGACTGAACCAGTCAGTCGCATGCAAATATCTCCAGCCCCTCAACCTTAAATTTCTTAAGTGTGTTCTCTGTATCACGGTTTTGTAGAATCTACTTTTTGATAGGGGAGATGTGCTAAAGCACTGAGAGTGAAATGTAATATGCCCGCAAATGACTTTTCAAGGGGCACAGGGCAAAAAAGACATGTTAAAGGGGCAAGCGAATGGAGGCTGGAAAGATAGCACAGCGGGTAGGGCGTTTGCCTTGCATGCAGCCGACCCGGGTTTGATTCCCAGCATCCCATATGGCCCCCTGAGCACCGCCAGGAGTAATTCTTGAGTGCTGAGCTATGAGTAACCCCTGTGCATCACCAGGTGTGGCCCAAAAAGCAAATAAATAAATAAAGGGGCAAGGGAAGATGAAGATGGAAGACATTTAAAAATACACAGGTATTTCTTCTTCTGCTCTTCCAATTTTTCTATTCTACAGGCTTGAACTTTTTCACACACAAAATGAAAGTTGGGGAAATTAAAAATAAAGACCACCTTATGGTACATATTTAATAAAAACATATCTTATGATACTCAAATACATATTCTGAAAGTGTTTACCTTATTTGAATTTGTGAGTAAGAAAGTCCTCTGCAGATTTTCCTTTTCAGCCAAACATAACTGCAGTCTGCCAATCTCCTCTTTGAAATGAGTAATCATACTTTCTTTATTCCCATCTAAATTTTTTAAAGTCTGGACCTCTGACACAAGCTTGGTATTTTCTATTTCTGTATTTTTCAAATGTACCTAAAACCAGTGATTGAAAAAGTTAACATTAAGTTAAAGTTTAAAACACTGCTATTTATCTCTAACCCTAAGATGATTAGCAAAGGATTTACTTGATTAGGAGACAAAGACCTAAGTTCTATCAAATGACTAGTTAAGTGTGTGCAAACAAAATACAGCTTTCTAAGCTTTGTAAAATATTTTCCACAGGGATTAATTATAAAATCTAATAACACTGTGTGGTCTATTCCTTTGAATTATTGCACATTCTCTTTAAAAACTGTAAATGGATTTGGATGATCTTTGTGGGAAACAGATTATATTACAAAAATACTAAAATACAAAGTCATAACCAGAACAATGACATTTTAAATCACTCAAATTTTAACCTGTAGAGAAACAGTTCTTTACTTCCTCTATGCTTAAAAATAATGTATTTGCTGATCAAGTAAACCCAATTACAATTTTTCTCATAACTTTTGGCTGCTGCTGTGTTAACAAGTAATATTCCATAAACAGAATTAGAGTTTACAGGTAAGTTCTTTATAAAGAGATTTTTGCTCAGTTAATCAGAGAGAAATAATTTAATATACTGATTACACATTACTCTTCTAAGTGTATTTATACTAAAAAATTAATGCCTGTTCAAAAGGACAGAATTAGAATAAGGACAAATTAAAATCTAATCAAGAAGCCAAGACTTTTGCAGCACCATCTTAAAAACACTACTTAATTTTCCTCTAAATTCTGCATGTACACACACACACACACACACACACACACACACACACACACACACACGCACACTGCCACTGCCACTGCCACCCCCACCCACCCGGTCAGAAAACTAGGGGGTTGCAGAAGATTGTGTCGATATAAAAATTTCAGTGTCAGAGCCCGAGTGATAGCACAAATGCGTAGGGCATTTGCCTTGCAAGCAGCCAACCCAGGTTTGAGTCCCAGCATCCCATATGGTCCCCTGAGCACCGCCAGGAGTAATTCCTGAGCGCAGAACCCCTTGTGCATCTCCATGTGTGACCCAAAAAAGAAAAAAAAAATTTTTGCAGTGTCACTCTGATACAAATAGCTGAAGCTTTTGCATCAAGAAAAATGTATATATTAGCAAGCTGTCAAACATACTTCTAAGACACCTTAGTTTTCCTATTCTTTACCAAATCTTCTGCAAAGGACTCATCTTTTGCAAAGGCTCTGAAAACATACAATTCAAAAACATTCTTCGTAAATGCTGAGAAAAACAAAATTAAAAATCAAAGTAAAATTTAAAAAAAAAACTCTTAAGAAAGAGGTAAAGGGAAAATGCTGGATTTTCCTTAAAATGTGTGTGCCAACCCTTTAGGAAGTATTACATACTGTTCTCAAAACAAAAGGCAGGGTGGAAAGGTGATAGCTTTGAAGATACGTTTTCCTCTTTTGAAATCCTAATATGCTAGTAATAACTATCACTACATCTTTCCAACATTACAAGTTAGGACCTTCATAATCCTCCCTAATAATAACTAGTTGAATGCCTTTCAAATAAAATTTACTTGAAGAAATAGAACTTAATTCCTCTTTTCCTTGAGCAAGCTGACTGACAATGTTTAACTCTGGAAGCCAGCAACTGCCTCCTTGCTTTCTCTTCAGACAGTGCTGCTCGCTCCAGGTTAAATTCACTGTGAGATGCTGGCAAACATTCAAACAGTCTATGACAAAGCCACACAGATAGGTCTTCCGCCAAAGGCCATGTGAAATGAGTCACTCTGACAGACCTCCAGTTCCAATGAGGTCTTTTAGTTGACTTCATCCCTTGCCAAAATCCTGACTGCAACTCTGTCAGAGAACCTGAGTTAAAATCACCACAGTGAGTTATTTCCAAATTCCTAAATAGTAAAATCTGAGGTATTTTGTTATAAAGCAAGAGATAATAAAAATGAAATGTTAATCACCTTATAAAGTTCCTTTTCATCCTTTTCCATCTTCAACTGACATTCAAATTGTTCTCTTTCATACTGTGTCTTCCTGAGTTTGTCCTTTAAACTGAGTTAGATTGAATAACGTTAATACAGACACCAAAAACTTTGTTTAAAAATTTTTAAGGAGCCAGGTGGAAAGCTCTAAGTTTGGACGATTATGGGTGGGAGGCGTAGGAACAATACCCATGGTCTCCCAAGAACTCCAGAGTAGCGTCTGAACACTACCAGGGGTGGCTCAAAAACAAACAATAAAAAAAATTTAAGCATAAAGACTTTATAAAGAAGCATCAGAAGTACCTGTCTAATTCAGTTTCTTTTGCAATTGCTCTTTGTGTCACTGACAAAATATCTTCCTCAAGCTGGGAAGATTTAGACATAGCATCATTGTACCTCTTCTTTAAGTCTTCATTTTCCACTTTTAAAGTTTGTGATGCTTCATTAAGCCCCTTAAAAACAATAAAGCATAATGAGGAACACAGAAATTTGAGTAGGTTAAATTTATAGCTAAAAAATCTATACATTCTTAAATATTTGAACCTTGACTTGTTCCCTCCAAAATTTTTAAACAAAGACTAAAAACTAAACATGAAATTACCACTGACATTCATTTAGCTTTTCATATATATTATTTCCCCTTTCCTGGATTTTTCATGCACACTTTTAGTTTTAATTTAGTCTAATTTTCTCACAGTTGTCTTCATCACAAGGCAAGCAAAAAATTAGAAAGAGAAAAAAAAGAAAAAACATCTTTCATTGTTTGTGTTCCACATTTCAATGTTACCCTGATAAAATATCAGCTTTCATGTTACTACCAAGGTAAACATCCACTGGTTTTGCAAATAGATCAAGTGGTACCACTGGTAACAGCACCAAGATAAAGGCCCAAGCAGTGATTATGTGATCTGAACAAATATTTAAAGAACAAAAAGAAATATTAAAAAGCTCGCATACACAACAAACATATTTCTATATAAAATGAAATAGTATACCTTATAACTTAGAAATTTTAAAAAACTGATATATTTAGAAAATCAACTAATTTATAATAACTTACTCAAACTGTTCTAAGAATAAAATAAGGCCTTTTCCTTGACAGGCTAGCATATGCTTTGCTGACAGGAGCCTGGGTTTGGAATTAAACCTAGCACAGCTGAGTATGACCCAAAAAATCAACAAAAAATGCTATTTTTTAAAAATTAAAAATAAAGAAATAAGGTTATTTCTGCCCCATTTATAGAATAATAAAACCCATAGTTCACATACAGATACTTTACTATAAAAAACTATAAAGAAGAAACATTGATAAATTAAAACAAATTGGGCTGAGAAAATAGTTCAAGTAGTACAGCCATGGCCTCCTAAGTAATACGAAGTTGAGACTGATCCCCAATACTGCATGCTCTCCACCCCTCAACTCTCCTGTCCCCCAACCTGGCACTGCCAGGTGTGATTCAAGTGGGCCCTGAGCACTTTCAGATAGGACCCAAGTGTCTCTAAACCAGCATTGGAAATGGTCTCTATTTTTTACTGTTTTGGGTGCCACACCCAGTAAAGCTGGCGATCAGAGACCATATGGGATGCCAGGGATCAAACCCCGATTGGATGTGTGCAAGCAAACATCCCAAATGCCAAATATCCCACCTGCTATACTACTGCTCTGGCCTCATCTCTTAAAAAAAAAGGGGGGGGGGGAATGGTTTAAAAACATTTTTTAATTTCCCATCAAATTAAAACTCACCTACCCAACCAAAACAAAAAAATTCAAGAAAATCACTATTCTATTAAACATATCACACATAATATCTACATTATATACTTTAAAATATTTGCTACGTGGTAAGGTAAAGGGTAAAGGCCCTCCCGTTGATCGTCGATTTGCTCGAGCGGGCCCAGTAACGTCTCCATTGGAGACTTTGTTGTTACTGTGTCTGGCATATCGAATACTCTCGGTAGCTTGCCGGGCTCTCCGAGAGGGGCGGAGGAATCGAACTCGGGTCGGCCATGTTGGCCGCTTGTAAGGCGAACGCCCTACCGCTGTGCTATAATACATATATAATATATAAATATAATATACATTATTTACTACATAATGTATATGATACTTTGCTTTTCAGGAGTATATCAGCTGGTTAACTTATGGGTAGAATGTGACATTTAAATATCTGCTAGGATACGAAACTTCTACATTACATCTACACTTCACTATAAAGTTTAATGACAGTATTGGTCAAACACATTCACTATATTGTCTTTATTTCTTCTCAAAGCAATTATCTGCTTCACTTAATCTGTGCCATTACCCAAAGACTAGTTAGCTAAACCGAACACTTGCCAATTTCAGTGACACACCAAAGTAAAGTTTCCCCCTCTACTATAATTGCTGTCAATATACAATCCTTATAAAATCTAAATCACTTCTGATATTTGTCCTAATAAATTCAGAGTAGAGGTTTTCATTAAAATTTTTTTTACGTTTTATATTTTAGTTTTATTGAATACTCTTAGTGCTTCAAATAGGCTATAGATTTAATTAATCTAGGTATTTTTCACCAATTTGAATAGCTTGCCCAGAGGCAAAGATTAGCTTCGAAAGAAGTTCTGTAGAGTAAACTGCATTCTTAAAAATAAATAGAGCAGGGCCAGAGCTATATATAGAACAGCAGGTAAGGTGTTTGTTTTGCATGGTTTGTTTCCCATCCCTGGCATCCCATAATGGTCCCTCGAGCACCACCAGGAATAATTATTGAGTGCAGAGCCAGAAGTAACCCGAGCATCGCTGGGTGTGACCAAGAAGACAAAAACAAAAGCCATAAAAACAAAATGCAAGGAGCATAAGCTCTGAAGGTGGGAACCTCTGGCTTGATCACAGCACCACATGGTCACCAGGCCACCCCACCCAAAAGCAACTCCACAAGACCAACTACCATGCCAGGTATGGCAACAACTACAACAAAAATCAATACTTTAGGACCACATTTCAAAGTATTCTTGATCCCTTAAGTACATGTTGTATGTAATGGGTCATCTTCATGAGTCATTTTCTGTCTTATGTCTACAGTTCGGGCTTACCAAGAATGAAAGAAAAAACAAGGCACTCAGCTTCAGCAAAATGTCAAATTTAGTTCCAATTAAAAATAGAGAGTAACAAAGGAATTACAACAATTGACTAAAACATTTAGCTAAATGCCCTAAAAGGCAAGATAGGCACATACAAAATTTTAATGCATTCTAATATTTGGTGCATAACAGCTTAAGATTCACATAAAAAATATAACTCCCAAACCAAACCATATCCTGAATTATACCAGTATTTCCAAAAACTACATATTCCTTAAAGTGAGAGTGGTAATAAACCTTAAGACATCACAAATATTTGAGATTTATAATTGTGCTCATTGCTTAATTCTATGTGTGCCTTCTAAATATTTTTAAAAACTGAAATAACATCAAATTTCTACACTTCACTAAATCCAGTCTTGAAAAGTAATTTTTAACTACTTTAATTTCCCTTCATTTGGTGTTTATATAAATATATTTTCCCACCAATCCCTTATATAAAACTTCTATAATTACACATAAAACATCTAAAATAAAGAAAAACATCTAAAATAGTTGTCACAGACTAACAATCTCATTAAGCCAAATATAAAAATATTTTAACCATCTACAGAAAGAGAACACTTGACAACAGATTAATAGGACTTTGATATTCTTTTGGAGGGGGGGAAGTGATGAGGTCATATTTGGTGGTGTTCAGGACTTACTCCTGGTTCTGAGCTCAGGGATGACTCCTGGCAGGCCTGGGGGATCATATGGAGTGCCAGGGATCAAGTCCAGGTTGGCCCCATGCATGACAAGCGCTCAATCTGCTGCACTATTGCTCTGGTCCAATAAATAGTTTTTTAAATGATTTTTACTCACTATAACTGTTCAGTTCTTGAAAACAGTACTCAGCTATTTAAGACACAACCAACCTTATTCTCTGTTTGCAGCTGCTCACATTGCTCTTTCTCCTGGTTAAGTTCTTTTTCCATTCTTTCAACTTGTTCTCGAAGCTGTGCTGTTTCTTTTTCCAGAACAGAAATTAACTTTAACAGTTCTTCTTTTTCTTTCAAAGTTTTCTCAATTTTTAACTGTTAAGACACAAAATATAATGTGCTCTTAATAACCCTAAAATGTACAAATCCAGTTTAATTCAAAATAACAAAGACTCTGTGCCAGGCTGTGAGGTGGGTTGAGCCCTCCCCACCTCAAGGGACCGAGCCCTGGCAGCCGACCTCCACTGCCCAACCACTGCCACGCTCCACGCCATTTTCTGGACCACTCGGCCACGAAGACACATTATAAGACACTTCCTACCCATTTATGTCTCTCGGAGAGCCCGGTAAGCTACCAAGAGTATCCTACTCACAAGGGCAGAGCCTGGCTAGCTACCTGTGGCGTATTTAATATGCCAAATACAGTAACGACAATAGGTCTCATTCCCCTGACCCTGAACGAGCCTCCAATCATTGGGAAAAGACGAGTAAGAAAAGGCTGCTAAAATCTCAGGGCTGGGAGGAATAGAGACATTACTGGCGCCCGCTCAAGTTATTCAACCAGTGAGTGATACAGTGAACAAAGAAATGCAAAGAAGCAACTCTCATAATTACCACAGATTACGCAGATTTTTCCAGTCTTCTGATGGAAAAATTCATGAATTATACATTTCACCCTTTTTTTGGGTTTGGGCAAAGAAGATACCAATAGATGTGAAATGAATAAATTTCATTATCAAATTGCTCATCACTTCTCAAATCTGTACTTTTCAAATTAAGTTTTCTAAGTACCTGAATTCTGGACTTTTGTTAGTGTGTACCTTTTCTTGACTACAACTACATGAAAAATCTTTATATCCATAAGAATTTCCTTATGCTATTAAGGCTTTTGCTACTGGATTAATAAAATTTCTGGTTCTTTAACTAAAGTAATAAAAACTTTTCACTGTCACTATCCTCCCATTGTTCATCGATTTGCTCAAGCGGCCCCAGTAACATTGTGAGACTTGTTACTGTGTTTGGCATATAGAATACGTCTCGGTGGCTTGCCAGGCTTTGTCATGCCGGCAAGATACTCTTGGTAGCTTGCCGGGCTCTCCGAGAGGGGCAGAGGAATCAAAGGCAGAGGAATCGAACTCGGGTTGGCCAGGTTGGCTGTGTGCAAAGAAAATGCCCTACCCGCTGTGCTATCACTCCAGCCCAATAAAAATATTTATGAATATGTATTTATGGATATATTTAAAGTAACTAAAGAGTAAATTTCTATAAATATAAATGTCTATATAAATATAGAAACACAAAACATGGCCTGTTTGTCTAATCAGACTTTTTTAAAGTGCAAGTTTAAAACCAAAATTCCTACTGTAACAATCTAGTAGTGATGCAGCTGATCCTTGTGAGAACACAAATAGCTAAGCTATATTCAGTAGGGGGAAGAAGGGAGGGGAGGAGGGAGATGCAACATTGCAATATTCTTAAAGAAAATTACTAAATTAAGGGTCTTAGGTAATAAATAACTTGCCTAATATTTCTCATCAGTCAGAAGTCTTTGATTCTAAAGGGGAAAGAATGTAAACTCAGAGGAAAGACTTCACAAAGGCGGAATCATTTATTTAGCTAAAATATTCTCCCCCGGTAACCCCCCAATTTTTTCCCCAGGAATCAGAAACCAAATTGATTCAACTCTAAAATGATTTTTATGAGAGTTGAAGAGTTGAACATATTTAAAATGAACCTCAACATTCTCCATCAATCCAAATAAAAATGGCAGGAGTAAATTTCCTCAAATGCAAAACATTTATTTACTGTATTCCTTTGACATTTTCTACTTAAATTTTTATAAATGGTTTTAGACTCTCAACCTGGCAGATTAAAACTGAAGATACATCTGACATATAGCAATGAACCATCATAAAAGAACAACTTTTCCCCAGTGATTAATAGACATATTACCTCCATATTCATTACTATTTTGCTGTATTTACTATAGTTCACTTTATATGTTAAGTTTACCTATGTAATTTTTGTTGCTAAATCATCTAAAACACAACTGCAAAAACTGCACCCATAAGCACTTCAGAGGAAGCATATCCTAATATAAATCCCTATTCAAATCATAACTAGATATCAATTTTGTAATATCCAGAAAAGAATATAAAGTTAAATATTTCCCATTGTCCCCCAATGTATCTACTTTTGAAAAATCTAGATTCCAGTCCAGATCCACATATTGAACTGTCTCATTTAATCACTATCATCAATGTTCTATTCCAACATTGGTACTAATTTTGTGCAATTTCAAAGAGAATGAGTAAGATGTTGTGATGAATGCAGAGATTTGAAATACTTATTTTAAGAAGCTGGCGAGAACATCAAAATATTTTGCCTCAGAAAAATCAGAGACAGCAATGTAAATTCTCTTCTTAAAATGTCATGTATCAGTGGGAAAAAGTCAAACTATGCGATACTCCAAATTACTTAGAGAAGCACAAGACACACAAAGATGCCAAAACACCCAATGTTTTCTAACTAAGGCCTTGAAATCAGGGTGGTCTAACAACCATTCTATAAACGGCAATATAAATCCCAACTACATTTTTCTTAAGAGCTGGACATGCTTCAGCATCTCTGACTAACATTCAAAGTATTGAGCTAAAAACCATAATCAACAGGCAGCTGTCATCACAAAATGTTTTAGTCAGCCTATAAAAGTTACATTTGTTTAAGATAAGAGAGGAATTTCTAGAAGGGAGAAAGCAAGATATAAAAGAATTCACAATAAAAGATGACTGGTTCCTTCTAATCTTCTTGGTTCAACTGTCTAATAAAGTACCTATAACCTTTTATTTGCTCTACTCTCAGTTTTTAAAGATAAATAAAATTAATTTATGGAGATAAAATACCTACACATAAAAGACAGTCATCTACCTATAAAGAAAAAGCAATGACCTGCCACTGACCAAGTATCACTGCAAATTCACTGAAATTCTATTCTAAAACAAGTAACAAAGGCTGTTCTCTACAGAAACTCAAATGCAATATCCTATTTTCTATGTGGGTAAAGCTATTAAGACATTTCTTAAAATGAGAAATGTTCTAAGGCTGGGGTTATAGTCTAGAGACAGAGTACATACATAAATTCTGGGATTAATCCTCAGCATCACAAACAGAAAAAAAGAATGTTTTCCTAGGACTAGGGGACAGATTAATGTGTTGGAGCACAAATCTTGCATACCAAGAGTCTAGGTTCAATCCCCAAAACCATGTGATCTCAAGTACAGTGATACTATGAGCACTGCGCAGGAAGTAACCCCAAGCTAGTTGGGAGTAACCCAAAAACAGACAAAAAAATATTGTTCTATTTTTTTCCTTCATAACTACACATTTTGGGCCAAGGATATAGCTCAGTGATAGATCACTTGCCTTGCATGTGTGAACAACCCTTAGATTCAATCCCTAACACAAGAAAAAGAAAAATAACTAAGGACTTCCCCTATAATATAAAAGCAGAATATTCCTATTTGGCATCATTTAGTATGTATTTTGGAGACATTCAAAATGTTTTCCAAACAAATTTGTGGCAACAGAATAGCCAGACCCAAAAATTACCCATAAGATGATACTACATAGAAATGTTACACTTTTGAATAGTGGGGGAAACTGGTACTAAAAATTAAGAACACTAACAATGCCTCATTTATCCCATCTACATCATAAATTTGTATTGAAGTCAATGCAATAACTATAAAATAATAGTAAAAAACTTTCAGGGTTTTTTTTTAAAAAAATAAACCATAGTTTAACTAGGTTTATTTATTTGAACAGAAAGAAAAGGTCACTCATGGTCAACATAGGGCTGGAGAGATGGTTCAGCAGGTAGGGTATTTGCCCTGCATACAGCTGATGGGGGTTCATCCAACTGCATCCTAAACGGTCCCTGAGCCTCACCAGGAGTTAATTCCTTAGTGTAGAGCCAGGAGTTACTCCTGAGCATCACCAGGTGTGGCCCCGTTAAAAACAAAAAACAACCAACCTAAACCAAGAGATTGATATGTTCCTCCAACTCACCGCTATTAAGATACAGCACATCCAATGAGTTAGAAATTTTGCTTTACACCACTTTCCCACTTGTTGGTTTTCCGATTATTGCTACCCTGAAATCAATGATTAGGCCAGATACAGGTGAGGACGGGGAACATTAGGAAGGTTTAGTTCTACATGTTACCAGGAGTTAGTTACTTATTTCAAATATCTGCTACACACAAAATTCTCACAGACCAAGAACAAACCAAGTCACAGTAAAAACATAATTATGACCCAAAAATGAACTATTTCAAAACTGACACTGGAAATTATTTTAGCAAAAATACAGTTTCAAGTTTCAAGGGGTCAGAAGATAGTACAGAGTTAAGGAATTTGCCTTGCGTGCAGCGAACTCTAATTCAATCTGCATGGTCCCCTCCTATTCTACAAAGCACAGCTGGGAGCAACCCCTGAGTACAGAGCTGGGAGTAGTCCCAAGCACATGGCCTAAACACCTAAGCTCACTCAAAAATATATAATCTCGTGCAGTTTGTCTGTATCAAGCTAAAAATTTTCTGCACACCAAAGGAAACAATAAAATGAAAAAGTAACCTAAAAAGTAAGAGAAAAAAGTTGCAATCATTTATCTTATTAAGAAGTTAATATACAAAATACAAAGAGTTCACATACCTCAAGAACAAATAACAATGATTTTTTTTTTTAATGAGAGGGAAAGGGGCTTGAGCAATAGCACAGCAGCTTTTGCCTTGCACACGCCCAACCTGGGTTCAATTCCCAGCATCCCATATGGTCACCCGGGCACTGCTAGAAGTGATTCCTGAGTGCATGAGCCAGGAGTAACCCCTGTGTATCGCTGGGTGTGACCCCTCCCCCCCAAAAAAATGACAGGAGAATGAAGTACATGCATTACATGGTCCAAAGCACCACCAGGAGTGACCACTGAGCACAACTGGATATAGCTACGCTTCCTACTCCCACCCCTCAAACTGGACAGATGATCTGAATAAACGTTTTTCCAAATAAATCATACAGATTTCCTATATAAAGATTTATGATCATCTCTAACAGAAATCAAAACAATGAGTTATCACCTCACACCTGCTAGAATGGCTATTATCAAAAAATAAAAGGGTTGTCAAGAATATGAAATGATGAAAAACCAGAGGAGGGTTCTAAAAAATGAAAAATATAACTACTACAGAATCAGCAGTTCTACTTCTGGATATTTAAGGAAAAGAAAACACTAATTTCTGTTTTTGTTACATTGCTATTTAAAACAGGCAAACAACAGAATCAAGTTAAGTATCTATCAGTGATAAACAGATAAAGACATGGTGTGAATTCACACAGACGTGAAAATACTCTAGGCAGATTACTTAACCATAAAGATTTTACCATTTGCCAACAACATGTACCAACCCTGGGTACATCACACTCACGGTCACGGTCCTCCCGTTGTTCATCGATTTGCTCGAGCGGGCCCAGTAACGTCTCCATCATGAGATTTGTTGTTACTGTATTTGGCATATCGAGTACATCACGGGTAGCTTGCCAGGCTCTGCCGTGCGGGCGAGATACTCTCGGTAACGGCCGGGCTCTCCAAGAGGGGAGGAGGAATCGAACTCGGAGTCGGCCATGTTGGCTGTGTGCAAGGCCCTACCGCTGTGCTATTGCTCCAGCCCGGGTACATCACATTAAATAGAAAAATTCAGACACATACCATAGGATCTCCTTACATGTGAACTCAAACACCTGACTCATACAGACAACAGACTGATAATTTCAAGGGCAACAGCAAGATGCAAAAGGGAAGAAGGACTTTTAACAGTGCCAACTCCCAATTACAAAATAACTCACTGCATGGAGACTACAGTAAGTAAAACCAATTTTCAATATCTGAAAATTGCTAAAATTTTTAGCAGATCTAAAAATTTTCATTGGGGCAGGTGCGGGAGGTAGCTTGCCTTGCACACAGTTAATCAGGTTAGATGCCCAGCATCCTACTTGGACCTCCAAGCATCCTCAGGAGTAGCCGAGTGCAGAGCCAGGAGTGACCCTGAGCACTGCTGGATGTGGGCCCCATGCCCACCACCCCACAAAAAAAATGCCTTTAAGGTTTCCGTCACTAGGCCAAGAATGTGTAGCTCAGTAGCAGAGCACATGCTTAACATGTGTGAGACCCGGGGTTCAATCCCTAGCACCGCAAAACAACTTTTTCATTATGGAAAATACGTTTTTAGTCATACGATAAAGGATTTTAAACTAGATTGCTGTGGGGATCATTTCCCAGTTAATAAGTATACATACACTCTTTGTTTTACTGCTGATAAAGTTAATGTCAATATAAATGTTATGTCAATTAGATCTAAATTGAAACAAAATTTATTACAGGCACCACATCTGTCAGTGCTGAAGCCATGTATGTGGTGCCAAAAACGTGAATCCATCTCACATAGGTGCTCTACCACCTTACCATACCCCCAGTCTTCTAAAACCGTTTTTTCCCTCTATGAATGAACAGCTCTCTGTTGGTACCAACCTCAAGAAGGCCAGCTTTTGTGGTCACAACCAACATGTCAGAATTTCCTTCATCTTCCATAGTAAGCAATTCCTCAACCGGAGAAGATGCTCGAAACTGGAATGGTGTACTTGCGCCACGAATTTCACCCTTATGGGTAACATAACAGAACTGATAAAATTCTCCATCATCATTTGGAAGGTAATATCCTAAGAGAAAGATTTTTTGAAATTCAGTTTTGTAATATTTGCCACCTCTTTATTCCAAAAAGGTAGATAATACAGGAAAGCTAAGAAATAAATCATCAAAACAATGGTCCCCCCACTTCATATCTAACCACCCCCAAAAATTTCCTATCACAGGTTTACACTTAGATTCTCAGAATTTCCTTACCCTATATTTCCTGGCCAAATCAACTTGTATGGCAGAGGCAAGTATGTAGTCTCCAATGAGGCAGTTTGAGGGGGAGGTTGCTGATGAGCAGGAAAGGACCAACAACAACAAAAAAAAATCTCGAAGTTGGGAGTCTTTCCTCAAATTTAACATTTGTTAACTACAAAACATTTTATGACACCCATGTAAAAAAAAAATCCTAGCCATAACCTATCTTTTATATTCCTTTTCAGGGGGCTGGGGAGACAGCGGGTGCTCTGCATGCACGAGCCCTGGTTTCAACCTCTGCATGGACCCAGAGCACTGCACTCTAAATGCTATGCCTTGCCCCCAAAAGAAAAACCCTTTTTTAAGCAAATCGACTTCCCTTAGACTTACATTCTTATAACTGGTTTACATTACCATGGTATTCTTAGCATCACCCCTCTACCTGTAATTGTTATTCCCTCCACACAAGATGCAGTTCCATCCCACTAGCAGAAAGATCCCTTCTGTTTACAGCTCCCACTCCCCCATCCCCTTTCCCTCTGGTAACCACCATAGTTTTCACAGTCTAAAGAATTAATTTTATTTTTTTCTTGCCAGTTTACTTGCTCCAGTAACTCATACTATAGATTAGTAAAGTTATCTATAATTGCCTTTCACTTCCTGATTTCATTTTGACACTACAGCTTCTTTATCCAATCATCTATTGGGCACTTAGACTGAGTCTGTCCTCCCGTTGTTCGTTGATTTGCTCGAGCTGGCCCAGTAACGTCTCCATTTTGAGACTTGTTGTTACTGTGTTTGGCATATTGAATATGTCAAGGGTAGCCTGCCAGGCTTTGCCATGCGGGCGAGATACTCTCAGTAGCTTGCCGTGCTCTGCTCTCCGAGAGGGGCAGAGAAATTGAACCCGGCTCGGCCGGACTGGCTGAGTGCAAGGCAAACGCCCTACCGCTGTGCTATTGCTTCAGCCCAGACTGAGTCCATGGTGTGTCTACTGTGCATGCTACTGTGAATGGAAGGCAAATATCTTTCCAGATTAGTGTTACACATCCTTCAGATAAATATTTAGGAGTGACAACGCTGGATTGTAAGAAATTTCCTATTTTAAGGAATTGCCATATCCTTTTCCAGAGGGTGGGCCAATTTACATTCTGACCAAGGGTACCAGAGCTCCTTTCTCTCTCTGCCTTTTCACAAACACATTTCCAACCTCTGATATATAGACCCATCTTATTGTGATTTTACTTAGCATTTTCCTAATAAAAATGATACTGAGCATTTTTCCCCCATGGGCTGTCTGTATATCATCTTCAGAGAAATGTCTATTCAGAAATGTCTTTTGCCCACTTTCTGACTTGGCTGCTTGCTTTTGTTGTTTAAATGTAATTATGGATATTAAAAGCTCTTGTCAGATGAATGATGTGCAAACATCTCCCATCTACTAGGGAAACGTTTAGATAGTGTCTTTTACTATAGAATGTCCTTTGTTTCTGAATAGGAACCACACTCAGCAATGGTAGGGGTACCCAGGAATCCCTTCCACCAGTGTTCTGATTGGGCAAGAGGCTACAGTCTGTTGTGTAGAGGCAGGCACTGCAGGAGAAGGGGCCATGATGGTTACACCTCATGTGTTTGGAGAGGAGGAGCAGCACGGGCAGGCAGTGCCTCGGCAACCACAGGGCTTTCCTCGCGCAGGGCTTCCCACAGGTGTTTGCGCTCAGTCACTCCATGGACTGCAATTTATTCTTCTGATTTAATTTGATGCAGTCGGTTTGTTCTTACTTTTGGTTCCCTTAGAGTTGAGTATCCAAACATGCTTTATGCCCAAGTCCTGAAGCGTATCACCTATATTTGCTTCCGTGTATTTTTCAGCTTTTAGGGAGGGAGGCTCTCAAGAAGTGCTTGTGGCCGGAAGGGAAGGGTACACACCTGGCCAGGCAGTTCAATGCTTGAATCTGAACGTGCTGAGCTGCTTGGGGCTGGCAGTGCTGGGAGCCCCCAGGGCACAGCAGGCCTGGCACACTCAAGGAAACACAGCACATTCTGCGCCTGGGGTCAAATCAAGGTCCCAGGAAAGCACCCAGGAGCCCTGTGCTCTCTCCCTGGCCCATTCTAAATAATTCACATTTGTATACGCAACAGCAAAGTCTTTCATTCATTTGGAGTTAATTTTATGTACACTGTTAATATGCAAACAGGTTTTATTTTGCATATGGCAGTGCAGGTTCCCAATACTATTTGTGGAAGAAGCTTTCTTTTCTCCATTGTATTGTCTTGGCCATTGATTAGTTCTTCATATATGCGTGCATCTATTAATGGATTCTCTATTCCACCATCTCTGTGCATATGTGTTCTAATACTACACTGTTTTCATTACTATGGGCATGATTTCATGCACACCATGTCTTCATTTATTTTCTTTTCTGAGAACTTCTTTTGACTATACAAGGTAATTTATGATTCCATACAAATTTTAGACTTGTTCTATCTCCTGGACAAAAGGCCACTAGTATTCCTTTAGGAATTGTGTTGAGTTTATAGATTATTTTCCATAAACGAACATCATAATGGCAAAATACTGAATGCTTTTCCCTTATAATTTGGAACTAGACACAGATGCCCATTCAAACCACTACTTGGATTTTATCCTATTAGACTTTATTATGTAGAGGTAAATTCTTTTTCTTCCTTATTTTGCATTCTTCTCAATTGTTTTTATCATAAATGAAATTCATTAAATGCTTTTTGAGCATGTAATTTTGTCTTTCTGATGCTCTTATTACATTAACTTAACATGCCTGTATGCTGAACCATCCTTCCATTCTGTGGGAAGAATCCCGCTTGGTCACAGTGAATGATTCTCTTTTAACATTTTATGAGACTCAAGACTTTGTTGAGACCTCAGCTGTTGTATTTATCAGAGACGTAAGTCTTCTGTTATCTTTTTGTGTGCTATCCTTTTCTGGTTTGAGAAACTTAAAAAACTCTAACCACACAAATCCAAAAGCAGTGGCAATACCAAATGTTGACAAAGATGTACAACAAGAATTCTCATTTTCTGCTGCTAGAAACACAAAACGGTATTGCTACATTAGAAGGTACTTATTTCTTTCAAACTAAACACTCTTACCATAAGACCTAGCAATTTGATTCCTCAGTATTTATTCAACTTAACTGAAAACATCCACCAATACAAAAAGTTGTGTACAAACATTTACAGCTGCTTTGTTCACAAATGTCAAAACATGGAGGCAAGTAAGATGTTTTTAATAGAAAAATGAATGTACTATGTAACATCTATATAACTGAACATTACTGATGACTTTTTTCTGCAATTTATTGCCTATGCACCGTATGATGTTGATACAGAGTCCATTAACTTTACCAGACCTAAACAACATCTGTTGCTATAACCATCACTCAAATTGTAAACCACAATAAAACTCTGACTTGCTCCAAGGATGGAGCTCAGCCTTTACATGTGAGGACCTGGATTTAATCCCAGACACCAAAGAAAATATTTTTGCTTTAGTAAAACCCTTAGTCAAAGGTCTAGGGGATGGCTCTGAGGCTAAAAGCACCTTTCCTGGAAGCATGTGGCTGTTAAGTTTGATCCCCAGTTCACCTACACACACAGCCAGGAATATGAAAGCACTGCAAATAAAGTGTGCAACACTCAGTGAGCAGCAACTGAAAGAAATGTGCAAGCACCAAAGCCAGGAGTCCAATTCCCTCAAAGAGCACAACTAAATGTGTGCAATCCCTAGCAAGTTCTCCAAAGAAAGTGTGCAATCCTCAAGCAAGCGCAAGGTTGGGGACCTTGAGCACCACATCCAAATGTGAAGTCACTATAAACAAGTTCATGTGACCACTGGTCATCACAAGAGCAGCAACAAAAGGGAGGAAAATAAAAAATATTTTCAAAGTAAACAAAAGACAAAATAATCATAATACAAAACCACTGGATAATTAATCCTATGCTAAGAGTTCTAAGTATTTTTTAATCTGTATAGAATGCCAATACAAAAACTAATTTTATATTACAATTTCCAACTTATTTCAAGAAAAGGGATATACTATATAATCCTATCATCTTTGTGTTTTCATATTGAGTATTCCCCTCCCTCTTAATTTGTTGTACTTTTTACTAGTATCATAAAAAGGGCTGTTTTATCGTTTGGAAAAAAAAATCATCAGAAGACCCAGGAAAAAAAGTTTCTTTAATAATAAAAGTTAAGCTCAAAGCAAAAGAACTCTTAAATGTTTTTATAAAATACCATCCATGTGGCCTACACTCTTTATACTGTATTAATTAATCTTAAATATCCTGGACATGCTAAATAGTTATTTGGAGTAGAGGGCATTTTAAATGATAATACAACTTCCACTGACTTGCAGTTTTCAGTTCTTACCTTGAAATGCTAATACACAATTGACTGTTGATCCTTCTACATAATTTTCTGGCATAGGGGACCATAAAAATGTGTAATAGTCACGAGCAGTACTCCATCCAACCTAAAAGAAAATAAAATGTTTACATTATAAGTAAACGGTTTGAAATTAAATGACGAAGAAGCATCGTTTTATTGCACCCTATGTTGTAATAGGATTACAGATTATGATTCTTTTAACAGGTATATCAAACCTAACAGTACAATAAAACTAAGTAATCAAGGGCTGTTATGGGCTCAGTTCAAAAAGCTGGAGTGCATGTTTTACAGGTGGGAGTCCAGTAAAGCCCTGGCACCAGGGGTCCCTAAGCAACCAGCATGCACTACCAAATGTGACCCAGAACAAAAATTTATGGGGGCCAGCGAGATAGTACAGCAGCTAAGATGCTTGCCTTGCACGCAGCTGACATAGTTCCATCCAAGCACCCCATAAGGTTTCCCAAGCACCGCCAGGAATAATCCGTGGACACAAGAGTCAGGTGTAAGGTCTGGGCAATGCTGGGTATGGCCCCAAAACAAAATTAGAGAAACAGCTGTCTCTGTATCAAAATGTAATTTGATATCAATTTCTCAAAGAGTCTTTTGTTTGGGGGCCTGCTGTTCTTTTAATATTTACCTATTCTGTCATACCTGTACCATTTATAGCGATCTCTTGTCTGTTCCATCAGTTAGAAGTAACACAGAGAATTTGTAAAGAGACAAGAGATACAAGCGGACAGATTTGGGGAGGAGGTAAAGAGAGAGATACACAAGCCCTACAGTAGGAAAGACAAACTAAATCTGCTGGCCAGTCAGGATTCCCAAGAAATAAATACAACTAAAAACGTCTACCAAAAAAACCCTATACATTTTTGAAACAGCAAAATTTAGAACAAACTAATAACAAATTATCTCCAGGAGGTGGGAGTTCAAAGGATAAGGACATTAATTTTCTTTCGTTTACTTTATTATAGCTTTAAAAAATGATGTTATCAAGAGTAAATATTATTTAAAAGAAAAACAAAGCTAAAATGCCTAAGTATACAGAGAAAGAATATAATGCTGACTCTTAGAAACAGAAAACATAAATATACCTCCATAAGATAAAATACTGGGTCAGGAAGATGACCTGACCCAGTATTTCAAAAGTTCAAAGAGCTTGACTTTTGCACGTGCTGTACAGTCCAACCTACTTCGCCCCCAGTCAGGAGCAACCCCTAAGCACCAAGCCAGGAGTATCCCTGACCACTGCCAGGTGTGGGAAATACATAACACGCAGACAGAAAATAATGAAGTAGAGGGAGAAGGGAGAACAAGTCCGGAAAAGAAAACCAGAAGAGAAATAGGGAAAACAATAAAAGAAAACAAAATCGTGAGAAAAGAATCAAACATATCACTGCTCAGTATCAAAAAAAATATTAAAAACACAACAAAATTAAAGTGGGGTCAGAGAGGTGAGGCACTTGCTTTGCATGCAACTGACCCAGGTTCAATCCCAAGCATCCCACATAGTCCCAAGCACTGCCAGGAGTGATTCCTGAGCGCAGTATACCAGGAGTTAACATCTGAGCATTACCAGGAATGGTGGAAAATAAAGTTAGTTTTAACCAGTTGTCAATCAAATGCTATAAGAACAGTGCCTAACTGAGAGGTTTTGTGTTCCTACAGTGACTCCTGACACATAAACACTGCGCTCTCAACTTCCTCAGAAGTCTACATGGCACCCTCTAAAGTACAAAAAATATAAGATCAGCCTGAAGAGATAGTAGGGGTCAAGGCCCTTGCCTTGCACATACATGACCCCAGTTGATCCCCAGTACTCCATACAGTCCCGCAAAAGCAGTGCCAGGGGTGATCATGAGCACAACCAGGGCCCAAAATCTACATGAATGAAGTAAAAATAAAAAATGAAGAAAAAGAACCCATAATAACAACTCATGACTTTTAGAGTAATATATTTTATAATGTAATTTAATTTTTACCAACCACAAATCAAAGTGTATGCTTGTACACATACATAACCAAGATCAAATCAAATTCATAAACACAAACAGAATACTAAAACTCAAACATATAGCATGTGACATAACAATCTGGTACATCTAATGCTTGACTTAATAAAGACACGGTATTGGGTGCAGTTCTAAACCTTTCTCTGTATTTTAACTTTATCACTACAACTTATTAGGAAATTCTTGTTAATTTTTGGATTATCCGATCTCTCACCTAACCAGACTGTCAAAGAAAGTCTTTAAGGTCAGTTCATGAAATTCAAATTTCAACTACCAAATTTGAATGATTACTTCTCTGGACCACAATTCCCTACCATAAAATATAACTATTAGTGAAATATCTTTGCAAAGAATAAAACAATATGTACTGTGCTGATTTTAGTTGTAATTAAAACTAGTCAATATTAAAAGAGAGAGATTTAAAAAAGCTAAATGGAAAAATAATCTCTATGGCGAGGGCTAAGATGCCTGCCTTGCACTCAGCCGAACCCAATTCAATCCCTGGCACCAGAGGGATCTGATCCCCCAGAGCAGCAGTGACCCTGAGCCCAAAGCCAGGAGTAGCCAAGTGTGGCTGAAGCCTCCCTCCATGTCCCAGACAATAATGTTTAAAAACTTCTAACTCAAGTTACAGCGTTTATCTGACTTCACTTATTTCCTTCCCACTTGAACTTCATGTTCAATAAACCATCTTAATACACTCCAAACCACAATAGTACCCTTTGTCCTCTTGATTTCCTATTTGTGTCCAATGTTCAAGTTCCTACCCTTTCCAATATCCAGTCTGAATAATAGTCAATTAATTCTTCACTCACATTTCTGAGTCCTGGCTATCAGGGCAAGTCAGCAATATCCTATTTAACCTATTCCAGCTCACTCTGACTTGCTCCCATGAGAGAAAGACCAATATTTTTCATATTTAAGTATTCCCCACACATCACCTTCTTGCACTCTGAATCTACTCAAAGCTCCAAAATTAGCTCCAGTCCCAATTCATTTACTTGGTGAGTCCTTGGAGTCTACTTACAGGATCATTAGTCATAACTGATTGCCTTTTCAACTAAAGGTTTTCATCACCTCTTCTAGAAAATTAGGAGTGTTCTCTTTGCCTCTGTTATTTTAATTAAAATTTGTCTTACTGAACACTGCAAGATTAAAGTTCATCTCTGAATTTTATTCATCGCTGCTTAAAAACTATTTTTCAACCAAACATTAAAACAATCCACAACATGATCCAAACCAAACCTCCACAATTCATCTTCTAAACTATGCCATGTAAATTCAATTCGTACTTTCTCAAGCATATCACACATTTCCATTATCTGGGGACTTTCTCCCTGCCTGCCTGTCACCACTGTATCTATTAAAATTATCTCTGAGAGGGCCAGATATATGGATCATTTTCTAAGAGCAATGCCCTGAGTTTGACCCCTTAGGCACAAGAACTACGAAGTAAATAAATAAAAGTTATTCTTAAGAACAATCTGCAGCATAGTATGTTTAAAAACATATAATACCATAAATATGGTAATGATATTTTCAAAAACTTGCCTATGAAAAGAATGAATAAACATTTTTATTATGCACTGTCTACAGATTGTCCAATAGTAAAGATGTCCAATAGTAAAAATGTAATCAAATGAATTGCACAATGTATCAACAGCACATACTGTTATATACATCTATATGTATATAGTAAGTTTATGTAACTATACACCAGTGTGCTGCATTGTTATTAGTAATGGTAATATTTTTCTTTCTTATTCCTTATCTTCTAGAAGTTTTACTACATTCTTGAACTTGTATTGAATTTTAAATATTATCTTGGCAAAAAAAAGTGGAAAGAGTATGTTTCATATTATTAATTTGTATATTTATGTATTTATTGTTTAAAGGAAAATTAAGGTTCTTGGCATTCAGAAAAACTGGTTTAGCAGCATCATGGCAAAAAATAAGCACCAGAGAATGATACATTCTCCCTCCACTCTACAAAGCTGTAAATCAGATCATATAAAACAAAGTCCTATACAGTGTAATGATACTGAGTCTTAGATAAACCACAATTTGAAAGTTTCAAATACAAAATATTATTCTGTAAACATTTTTTAATAAAATATTTTTACATTAGTGTTTACCAAAGTGGGTAATACCACTGCAGTTGGGTGTTTTAGAATTAGTGGGATTGGGGTCTTAGTTTCCGGTGTAACTGGAGTGTGCTGTTCGATTAAAGAAGACATACTACTAAGGGAATATTAATTGACTTTCTCTTTCTGTAAAGAAAATGTCTGGTTTAGATTCTCATTTTAGATTTCAGCTTACATAAAAGCATTTGAAGAATAGATGGAGGTGATGGGACAAAAGAATGAAATAAGGGCAAATGAAGAATAATAATCTTGGGAAAAGATGAAGGCATAAACTAGGAAAAGAATATTAAGAACACAGAAATATACAGGCAATAATATGGAAAAATTTGTGTTTGGATTAATTTTTTTTACCATCTTCCCCTCATTTATTATAATCACTTTTTTTTTCTTTACAAACTAAATGCTGGTTTTTGCTTTTGTTTCATTTTAGGGCCACACTCCTGATAGTGAGCAGGGCTTAATCCTGGCTCTGTAATTAGGGAATCTCCCCGAGGAAAGCTTGGGGAAACATATGGGGTGCCAGGGACTGAACAGGAATTGGGTGCATGCCCAAAGTACTCTTCTCTGGTCCCTGGTGTTTGGGTAAATTTAAAGGAAAAATCAACATCTACTGGTCCTGCTCCACAGAATCAAGATTAAATCTTGAAAGAAATCAAGTAGCCGCAAAACTTTCTTGGATACACCATTCACAGACAGGACCTCTGGGGTGATGAGGGACAGATAGCAAGTCCCTGCCCTGCTGAAGACCTGATAGCCACACTCTTACCCCGACCACTGCTGCATACCTACACCAGACTCCACCCTCCAACCATCACTGACGGAGCTCGAGAGATGCCAAACTGCTGAAAATACCAAGTACATGGGGTTTGGGGGATAAAAACTCGGCTTTCTTGGAGTCAGGGTGTGCAACCTCCCCTCACCCTACTCCATGTACTTCTGGAAGCCCCAGCAGCCATACCCATGTTAAATCGCCGCCACCACGTAAGCTCATTGTCCAGTTAAATATTCTGAATTTTCTGGAATGACATCTCAAACTCTACAGTAGTGACATCCCAGTAGGAGCATACTAGGTAGAAATGTAATGTAGAACCAACTAACTAATCTTGGTTAACAAAAATATTAACACAGAAGGCTCATCTAGCAACATTTCTACACCTGCAGACCAACAACTGAAAGAAATTTTCTAAAAGAATGCTAAGAGGCCACGGAGATAGCTTAACGGCTACAGCACATGCTTGGCACACAAGCAGCCCAGAGTCTGCTCCCCAGCACCGCACGGCCCTCCTGGAAGCTCCCAAGAATAGCCAGGGGGTTGGCTGTGTATCATCAGAGTGGCCCCCACGATCACTGAATATTGCTTGCCTGGCCCAAAAATCAAATTTTTATTGTTCAGACATTTCTAACATTTTGACGACTTAGACATTCATATTTTGGGTCTCTATGACAGGCCCAAAGAACTGAAATCACCAGGGGCTGGGGAGAACTCAAAAAAGCTGGCCACAAATCAGATCCCCAGCAACACACTGCTCCCATCCCACCTCAAGGGCCATCAGTGGTCACCCTGGTGGCCAGCAAGCACCGCTGGGCCAGGAAGCACTGCATCCTTGGGTTTGCACACAAACCATTAGGCCCCTATATTCTGGTGAAGTATCTCTGGGAAAGATACCTGGGCCCCCTAAGCATTGTGCTTAAGTGGCCCCTACTAATGCCCCTAGCCACCCAAAAATAGCTGTGAATTTCAGAAAACACCATTACAGTGATTTCAGTAAAGTTTAAAAAAAAAAAAAGAAAAGAAAAAGATTTCTGCCATCAAAGAATTTACTAATTATGGAAAACAGATACTTTTATAAAAGCAAAAAATGCAATATGAGCAAATGCAAACCCTGCAGGACATGATAATATGACTTTAAACCTGCAAAAAAATGCATTATAAATGATAGGGAAAACTGGTTTATGACACATTAAACCAAAGGAAAAGGTCATTTAAGTTTGAAGGGAAGAAACAGTAAATATAGAAGGAAAATTAAAAAATGTAAAAAGATTTTCACAAATCCTTGAATAAAGTGAACCTTCTACATTTACAAATATTAACACTTCACATTACCCCTTAGTGCAGAATTGAAATAACTTATCAATCTACTTAAAATAAAGAATTACTAAGCAGCTTTCTCTTACCTTGAATATACCAACCCAGTCTTTTGGATGTGGATGGATATATGGAGTTAAGGTGTAATGACATTCCAGGTGCGCGTTAGGAAGATAACTCTTGGCCACATTTTGAAAGATGACATGGGCAAAGTTGGAGGTCTGTAACGGGACTTCTTGAAAGGATGTCATTGTGATCCTGAAACATGTAATTTGCACAAGTTGAGCGATGTCCATTACGAAGAAACATATCCAAAAATATATAATATGTCATGGAAATTTGCATGTCACACAGAGGTTTTGTTGTTGTTGTTAATACAGGAATTCTTTTAAGGTGATTAAATATAAAAACCAATTGGAAAACCAATTTTCAATATGGGCCAGAAGGTTACGTGGGGAATGATAAAGTTACAAAACAAAAAGGAAAGTCTCTCAACTCTATTAAAGTTTAATCATTGGTTTCTAATGCAGACAAAAATAAACGAACAAAGGGTATTTTTACTTCTCTGTAGGGGAAGGGAGGTTTGTTTTTTGGGTCATATCCGATAGTGTCAGGACTTCCAATATAAACCTGCCAGCCCTTAGAAGGACAACAGAAACAATAAGTTAAACAGAATTATTTTATTAATGATCAATGAGCTTTTTCTACACTGAGCCTTTAATCACTTTCCTTCCTAACCTGGCCCATCCCATTTGCTCTCCTCTACCTTTGAAGCATCTCTAACCTCTCCTGACCCACATTCAGGACTACCGGAACTCTTTATTACTATTATTACGAGATGACAACAACAATCACTTTCTCTGAGTAGAACCCAGGTACACGACTGTACGTACACACATTTTTGGTTTATGTAGGGCCTCCTGAGACAGGGCCTCCTGAGGTGTAGCTCAGTGGTAAAGCTCAGGCCTACAGGTTTAATCCCTGGCATAGCCAAAAAAAAAAAAAAAGAGGGGGAAAAAGAGAGAGGGAAGAAAGAGAAGACACAGAGAGAAATGCTGAGACGAAGGAGGGAAGGGGTGAGGGAAGTCACCCCAAGTAATCTCCTGCATTACACATGGTCTGGCTGCTTCCCCCATCTGAGCCTGGCTACTCAGATCCCTGGTGGGCCTACAGATAATTTTTGGTCGCACTACATCGGCCATATGTAAGCACCACCAAAGAGGGTGCAGCCCCCAGCAAACACAACATCTAAAAGATGTACAGGCACCAAAGTCATGTGAGCACACATGAGCCTAGCACATGGCTCCAAGGCAAGCACAGCTATGACGTGTATGCCTCAACAGCGAAAGGAACACGGAGCTCCATGAGCACTGTGGCAAGTGCGTGAGCACTGCACACCACAGCTAAAACTGTATGAGAGTACTAAGGTCAGGTGTGTGTGCTGGCCCTCATCATTCACACCAACCAATGAAGAAAGGACGGAGTGGAGAAGGGGATACAAAAACAAAGCGGGGGGACCTCGGGGGAACGTACATTTATATATGGACTGGTTATCTTTTAAAAAGCAAATAAAAATGTATAAATTGAACATGTAATTTTTAAACAATTAGTACTTATTGAATTTCTAGTACATCTAGTGAATGCTCAAGTTGACAAAAGGTGAAAGTGAATCATGAAAGTTTGCAGACACAAATGTTATCCACATATCCTACTCTACTTTTTTAAAAAGTAAACAATTTATTGGAAACGTTATCCATACTGTTCCAGACACAGTATAATAACTGATTTTGTAATACATAAGAAACTATAACACTAGTCTAAGACACATACTTCTAAGTTGTCAAAACAGGAATCTCAGGGGGCTGGAGCAATAGCACTGCAGATAAGACTTCTGCCGTGCACATGGCAGACCCGGGTTCGATTCCCTCTATCTCATATGGTCCCCTGAGCACTGCCAAGAGTAATTCCTGAGTGCAGAGCCAGGAGTAACCCCTATGCATCGTCAGGTATGACCCAAAAAGAAGAAAAAAAAAAACAGGAATCTCAGAACCCGAGAGATAGTACAAAGGTTAAGGTGACTTGCCTTGCACACAGTCAACCCAGGTTCAATCCCCAGCACCAGTCAACCCAGGTTCAATCCCCAGCACCACATAAAGTTCCCCAAGAACTGCCATCGTTCCCCGAACATTGAGAGGAGTGAGCCCTGAGCACAGAGACAGGGAGGCAGCGCTGAGTACACCCTGGTGTTTACTCACTCCTCCCCCCCTGGCCAAAGAAGAGAATCTTGGGACCAGAGCGATAAAGCAGGTAGGGAGCTTGCCTTGCATATGGCCTATCTGTGTTTGACCCCCACCAGGAGTAATCCCCAAGCCTAGCCCTGAGCACAGCTGGCTATGGTCCAAAAACAAACAACTTTTTAAAATAGTATCTTCTGAAATGATGAAGAAATTTGGGGCAAGAGTCTTGCAAATAAATTTGCTCTGCAAATAAAGTTTAAACAGTTTATACAGCAGTGATTTTTCAAGCACTTTAACCTCTGTGTGCCAGTGATAAAAAAAGAGAGTATTTCACAGATTGCTAAAGTAAAAATAATTATTTATAATAGTACTTCATGCATTCATTTTTAAACCCAATAGTAAGAAATGAAAATCATGTGTTAAGTGGCAATAACTTTCTTGAAGACTGACAGGAAATTTCTGTAGAGGAACAGGTTTGCAAACCAGAGGCTGAGAGCCCACTGTTGTAAAGGGCAAGCATAGCAAGAAGAGTCTACTCATATTGTAATAATTTTTATTCCTAAAGTTTAAGACTGCAGTTGTTTTTGTTGCTGACCAGTTTAAACTACTTAGCCAAAATCTAAGTTTTGAAGTAAAAGGCCTTCAAAAAATAACCACTTTCCTTCTTGAGTCATCTTTTTGTTATGGTCAAAGCTACTTTACAGAAATAATACATTAGGTATCCCCAAAAAACAGACTATCACTCATGAACCTGGAAGCCACTGAAGGAAGAGTATTAGGCCAGCTGACTGCCGGCCCCTGCCATGGGCTGCTGAACACGAGGTAAAGAGGGAGCTGGTGCACTCAGTAAAAACCCTTCAATGCACTCGGCTTGCACTACAAGTGTCTTCATTACCAGCAATGCTATTTCAAAGAACTGAACTGTCACTACTTCCCAGCTTCAGTAAAATGATAAAGTAGTATCTGCTAAGCCAATACCAGCTGCTTAAAATAACTGAAGAGTTCTATTTATTTCTTTGAATTGTCTGCACTAATCTGGCTTCAAGAGGATTATGTCATGATGCAATTACTCCTAAAAATAACCTCTGCAAAACAGCAGCTTCATAAAGGTGAGTGTGGGGGACACAAGAGGAATTAGCCACAAATTTTCTCAATGTTCACTATACTACAGAGTAGGATACTACTAACTGAAGTTGAATAGTAAATGCAATTTAATAAAAGTTTAATTAAACTTTTTTTGATGGACTACCAAAACTAAAGAGAATCAATGAGATTTCTCTACAAAAAGTAAAGATTTAGTTTTCTCTAAGTTATCCAGGAGAAGAAAAGGTTATAGAATGAGTTTCCTATGGTTTTAATTGAAAGCAATATAAGGAAAATTTTTTTCTTAAAACTTCTATCTAAAAAACACACAACAAAGTTCACACACACACAGTTTCCAAAAGTAATATAAGCAAAGTTGTTATAAAATAAGGCAGTTTACAATTTGTTTATACTTTAATAAAGTTTTCAAAATCCATAGTCCAATCTTAAACTTATAACTCACTGAAACAAATTACAGTATAATTTAGCACAAAGCATATATATAAGCATTTATATATGCATGTGTATATATGTTTATAAATGCATCAAGACCAAAAATAAACTGCCATAGAGTTAAGAGTCTTTGTAAAGATAGGTTTTTTAAAAAAAATAAAACTATTAGTTTGGGAGCTAGAGGCAAATACAGCAGGTAAGGCACTTGCCTTACACACAGCCGACCAGGGTCGATCCCTGTCATCCAATATGGTCCCCCAAGCATCACTAAGAACTGTTCTCGGAGCACAGACTTAAGACTAAGCCCTGACCACAACTAGATGTGGTCCAGAAGGGGGGGCAGAGGAGGGACGATTTAGAAAACTTAACTTTTGAGGCCAGAACATTACAGTGGATAGGGTGTTTGTCTTGCACATGGCTGACCCACGTTCAATTCCCGACATCCCAGAGAGTCCCCCCAAGAACTGCCAGGAGTGATTCCTGAGTGCAGAGTCAGGAGTACTCCTGAGAATTCTTAGGTGTGGCCCCAAAAGCCCCCCTCAGAAAAAGGAAAAGAAAGAAAGAAAACTTTTACTCAACTGACTCTAATTTTTACCAATAGTGTATTTCTTTTTCCATTGTTCTAAATAACATAACACAAAACCTCTTTTGGAAGGAAGGGCGTTATGGAGAGGACCAATACTGCTGAGGGCTGCTCACAGCAGTGCCCCCTAGTGGTTTTCTGGGGAACCCTGCAGAGCTGGGGACTGAAACAGGCTGCATGCAAGACAATTCCCTGAACCATCTCTAACCTGAAATTTCATTTTTAATTCATCCCCCTCTCGGAGAGCCAGGCCGCTACCGAGAGTATCTCGCCCGCACAGCAAAGCCTGGCAAGATACCCGTGACGTATTCAATATGCCAAACACAGTAACAACAAATCTCAAAATGGAGACGTTACTGGGCCCGCACGAGCAAATCAATGAACAATGGGAGGACAATGACAGTGACAGAAAATCTTGACATCACTTTAAATTGATCATGCTTATAAATCTGAAAAGATAATATAATCATCCTAATAACCTTCATTAAACTCTTACCAGCCTTTTAAAAAATCCCAATGCAATTATGACTATATACTTTAAAAAAATTATTCCCCTCACTATTTTACTTGTTTTTTAATTACAGTGCTTCTAGTCATAAGAAAGTTAATAAGGTAAAGGCCATCTGTATGTAATTTCAATGAGTCAACAAGTTTAAATAGGTAAAATGAAATATCTAACTCCATAGTCCCTCAATTTCACTCTTCACACAGATTACAGTGAAAAGACAAATTCACAAAAATACTGAAATTCACTGAAAATGTCAATGTAACAAGATGACTCACACAGGCAAATGATGCGTGTATGCTTGTAAGCACACTCAGTACCAACACTACATGACCTAGTGAACAAGTAAAGTGCAAAGTCACTGCATCACCTTGTGGTAATCCCTGGTAAGTGTAGCTTCACTAACTTCCTGAGAAAAAGTACTAACTGCACCTTAGTTGGCCAAAGAGAAAAAAATATGGCCAAAACAGGCAAAGGACAGTAAAAACAGCTTTACAGTACTAAACATTGCCTCCCATTCTCTAACATCTCCAGAAACACAGATACATTAAGATACAAGCCTGGACTAAGTCAATTTTCCAGTCACGAATCCCAAGACCAGACATAGTTGGCAGGAAAATGAAGTCCGAAAGGCATTACATGTGCCTGCATGCCCTCTCTTTTGCTTCCTACTGCAGTCTCAAAAAATTTAATAGATCTAGACTTGCTTTGTATCTGCCATGTAAACTTTATGATATGCAGTCTTCAGTCTAAAATCCAGTTTTGTTGTATTAAGGACAAATACAATCATTTAGCTACAAGGAGAGCAAACATTTTAATACTTGTATTATATTGCTTCCTCTCCAAACTTTTCCAAACCTGAAGAAATAGTACTTTGTTATACTATTTTTTCCAGAGCCTCCTAATACTCATTTTACTTGACTAACCCAGAAAATGAAGTTATCAGCAACTAAATGGAAAATATCCCATACTAGAAGCATACAAACGTCTAAAGCATTTTAATTTAAACTTGTCATTTGTAACAATTAGAATCCAAAAAGGTAATTCTGCCATCTGCAAAAATTTGACTATATTTTTAAAGATCCTTTTATAAAGATGCTAAGCCAACTATAACTGAACTATCCTCATATATGAATAACTCACTTTATAAGGGGGCATGTTGGGGCCGGAGCGATAGCATAGCGGGTAGGGCATTTGCCTTGAACGCAGCCGACCTGGGTTCGATCCCCGGTATCCCATATGGTCCTCCAAGCACCGCCAGGAGTAATTCCTGAGTGCAGAGCCAGGAATAACCCCTGAGCATCGCTGGGAGTGACCCAAAAAGCAATAAATAAATAAATAAATAAAGGGGCATGTTAAGAAAAGGGAATAAGTAAAATGGTCTCTCTTTAAAAACTGTTTTCTCCTTTTGTATGTTTAAAACCTTCCACGATTAAAGTTAGTAAAACCAGAGAAAATAAAGGTTTGTAATAAGAACATTTGTTGATTTCAGTGCATATAAAACCCTACTGTAATAGAAACACCTAACATGCTATGGCTTAAAAGAGAGTGAAAGTTTTTTAAGCCTTCATTTAAAATGACATGAACTTTTATAATTACCTCCAAACACCAATTCTATGGGGCACAGACATCTGAAGAGGAAACTACGTGGGACATTCTATTAGCTATTTTAACTTAAAAATTGCAAACGGATTTATGAACCAGAAAAATGTTACCAGCAGCAGTCCTGGGAAGCAGAAGCAAATCCCCCAACTATATTTATTTTTGCCCACTACTAGAAAGCCCTATCTCCAGAATTCTTTATGGCTGAGGGTCAGTCAGTCCAGGTGTCAACTCACTTTTTAGGCAATTTAAAATCCCTTTCTAAAAAGCTATCAGCTTAGCCCATAACTTAGAGGGGAATTTTTTTTAACCGAATCACCGTGAGATGGAGCATTACAAAACTACATGTCATACTATGTTCCAACACCCATTCCTCCACCAGGGTAATTTCCCAGCACCAGTGTCCCCTTTTCCCTCCCGCCCCTTCAAGCCACCACACCTCCCCCAGCCTGCCTCTATGGCAGTACCTCTCTTTCTCTTCTAGAGGGATAACGTTTATCTCAAGTTTTACTTGAAGTTTACAAAATAAACTCTAAAATTCCAGGCATTCAAGAAGCCAAAATTTTATTTAATATCTAGATTCCAAAAGAATACAACCCAATAAACTTCAAATTGGGAGTTATGACTCGCAAGAGAATAGAAAAGAGCATCGTTAAATACTCATAAATGTTTGACATCCTTTAAAAGGTTCAGCAAGACAGTATAAACTTCTGAAACGGTAAGCCAGAGTTCCAAAATAGCTGTTAATTCGAAGGAAAAGCTATTTACTGCTGATTCTACACCAATGGTTGCAGCCCTAACTGTGAAGAGAGGGCGGCGCCGTGTAGGACCTGAACGAGGAGCAAACAAAAGCCTGTCCTTTGGGAGTGGAGGGCAATGGGGAGACACCCCCACTCCCCATTCCTAGTGCAAGCAGCAGCTCTTCTTCCCCGGCTCGACCCTCGGCCGGAAAGGGATGGGACCAAAAGCGAAGGTCCGGCCGGGGCACCTTCTCCGTAGCAATTAGAGAGGCCAGGAGGCCGCTTCTGGGTGCATTGCCATGCTAGTCAAACCACTTCTTTAACCACAAAAAAAGCAAAGAAAAAAATGACCTTGGAACCAAGCCACAGAATTGTAATCAGCAACTGCTGGAAAGCAGGGGGTTGGAAATTTCACAAATAACGGGAGGCAGAGCTGGGGGGAAAAAATAAAAATAATTTTTTATTTCTTATTTTTTTTAAGAAAAGGGAAAGCCGTTCCCACGGGGATTCCTGACATAGTTGCAATTCCGAACAGTCCGTGAAACCCACACGCCGCCGCGGCCTCACAGGAGCCCCCACCCCTAGGAGTCCCCGGCGCACGCCCCGCGCCCCGCCAGCCCGCCGGGACTGGGGGCCGAGGGGGCGGCAGCGGGGCGCGACCCGGGGGAGCCCCGCCGACGCCGCCCGCGCCGCCGCGGGACGCCCCGCCTCCTCCTCCGCCGCCGCAGCCGCCGCCGCCGCCGGCCCAAACAACCGCGTCTCCCCGGGCGCCGGCCGGCCCGCCGCAACTCCCCGCCCCCGCCCCCCGGCCGCTCCCGGGGGCGCGGCGCCCGCACGGGCCGTCGCTCTCTCCCGGGCTCCCACCGGCTGCAGGCGCCCCGCAGCGCGTCACAGTCGCGGGCCGCGGGCAGAAACCCAGAGTCATTCGGCGGCGGCGGAGGCGGCGGAGGCGGCGTCACCGCCGACACCGCTCTCCGGACGACGACACGCCAAGGGCCTCTCGGGAGACCCCCCCACCCCCCAACGGGCCCCGACGCGGGAAGACCCAACCCCCAGAGGCCGGGGAGCGAGGACCGAGAGGCGCCTTACCCAGCGAGGGCTCCTCGGACAGAGAGGGAGCGTTAGAGAGGATCCCAATCCCCAGCCGCCATCAGCCGCCGAAGCGCTTCCGCCTCCGCGGGCCGACTCCGCCGGCGGCCACGCCCACCCGGGGGCGGGGGGGGGGAAAAAGAGTGGCTCTGGCGTCACTTCCGCCCACGGACACGCCCCCGCCGCCGCGGTGTCTCGAGCGGGGCCGGGGCTCCGCGCAGACCCCCTGGCCTCCCCGCCGCGGGGGCGGCTCAGCTGCGGGGTCTTTCGGGGCCCCTGTGCCGCCTTTTCTCTTGGCTTGGCTCTGCCTCCCACTTCCTGGGTCTCGCGGAGCTCGCGCACAGACCCAAGCCCCGCCTAGCGGAAGTGTTTGTTGTGTGTTGACTTTCCCCGGGACAGCTGAGTAATTTACCTGTTAGGTGCAAACACTCCTGCCACGTCACTGCCCGGCTCCTTGAAATGCGTCAAAGCGACCAGTAGCCTAAGTGTCCCTAGGTAGCAGCCCCGCACCTCCCTAGTACCCGTGATGACAATAATGTAAGACAATAAAAAGGATTTGTTAATACCGCTAGTAACAGTTCCCAGTATTTACCGGCTGATTCATCTCCTAGGTATTAATATCTTTGAATTTGATTTTGTGTGTTTTATTATACTTGATCAAAGTATTTCAGAACCTTGACAAATCACTTAGTCTCATGGTCTTTACATATGAAGGAAATGTAATAGCAATAATAAGTTTCTTTCTGCCAGGAGACTTTCCGTAGTGAAAATAACTCAGATATATAAAGCACTTTGTAAGCACAACTTTCCATAGGAATTGCTCTTGCACTTTTTTAATCACATCGGGTAGGGCGTTCGCCTTACAAGCGGCCAACATGGCCGACCCGAGTTCGATTCCTCCACCCGTCTCGGAGAGCCCGGCAAGCTACCGAGAGTATTCGATATGCCAGACACAGTAACAACAAAGTCTCCAATGGAGACGTTACTGGGCCCGCTCGAGCAAATCGACGATCAACGGGAGGGCCTTTGCCTTTACCTTTACCTTATACAATAAATTTCTAATTATCACCAACTTTCAGTTAAATCAGACAAAATATGCTTAATTAAATTATTAGAAATTGTGTGCAGATATTTATTTTTTGTTTATTTGGGGGGACACCCTCAATAGCTCAGGGGCTTCCTATGCTCTGTATTTGGGTGTCGGTCCTCACAGTGCTTGAAGGATCAAATACAGCAATCCAGCATGCAAAGCACATACCCAGCTCATTGAGCTACTTCTCCCATCCCTGTTAGTTTTCAAATTCTTGGATTTTCGGCCCTTATTTCTCCCTCCCCCCTCCAGACCCAAAGATGTTTTCTTAGGAGTTTTAGTCCTTTTAATAATGATCCCTTGAATTTTTAAACATCTCCAAGCAAAGTAAAGAGATATTTTTTGTATGCTAGTAGTGCACTAAAGCTATAGAAAAGATAAATAGATAAATGGATAAATAGATAAAATTTATAGCCCCTTATATAAAATCTCTGGGCTAAGTGGATTCCAAATTTAGAATTTTTCAGACTTTAGAAGTGTACTTTATCCTATGTTACATTCCACAAGGGGTTCAATTTCTACCCCATATGGTCCCACAATCCCGATCAGAGTGTTCCCTGAACACTTACAGCTAAGGCCCAAAAGCAATAAACAAACAAAAAATAAACTCAGAGATGGAAGAACTTAGACTTATGTTTATGTGAACAACATCCTCTGTATAGGGGGTAGGCCTAGATTGTTAAGAATTTTCATGAAGAGGAGGAAGACTTTCAAGTCAAAATACGGAGTTTGGATGTTTTGATATTGTAGTCTTAAAGGACAGACTACCTGACATGAATCTAGGGAGACAAGGAGATTTGATATTGATAAATTCCATTAGTCAAAAGATAGTAACTCGGACTGGAGAGATAGTACTGAGGGTAAGGTGCTTGCCTTGCACAAGACCAACCCAGGTTTGATCCCAGGCACCACATAGGATCCCCTGAGCACCACCAGGAGAAATCTCTGAGCACAGAGCAAGGAGGGTGTGGCCCAATAATATTGTTATTATTAACACTGTAGCTCTGTCCTCCCATTGTTCACTGATTTGCTCCAGCAAGCAACAGTAACCTTTCCATTGTGGGACTTGTTACTGTTTTGGTATATCCAGTACTGGGAGTTTGCCAGGCTCTGCCTTGTGGGTGAGATACTCTTGGTAGCTTGCAGGACTCTCCGAGAGGAGTGAAAGAATCCAACCCAGGTCGGCTGTGTGCAAGGCAAATGCCCTACCCGCTGTGCTATTGTTATTATTAATAACAATAATAACTTCAGCACCATGTTTGCAGGAACTGCTTTATGTAGGCAGAAAAAAATGTTACAATTAGTCATTCAAGAAAAAAACTAAGTAGAAAAATACCACATCCTTTCTATTGCTGCTTGCCTTTCTATTTCAGAATAATCTGCAGAGCTTTAAACTTGTTACAAGGAAGAAAGCTCAAGCCAATAGTACAGGGGTTACTTGCATTACATATAGCCAACAGCAGTTCAATCCCTAGAACTGCATGTGGTCAGCTGAGCACCACCAGGAGTGATCCCTGAGCACAGAGGAGATGTAAGACCTGTGCACAATCAGGTTCTTTTGGGAAAAAAATAAAAAGCAAAATGATTATAATGAAGAACTGTACAGAAAACATCATCATTCAGAAATGAAGATGACCTGATACCCTCAAAGCTCCATCCTGTTTAATTGGAAACCCGACTCTCGTACATCAAGAAATGGAAAAATATAGACATTTACAGCCCTCCTCCAACCCTTATAATAATCCCTGAAACAAATATATGGGAGATGTCAAGAAGAGTTTGTTTCTAATTTCCTCACATTCCATATGTCAATAAACCTTTTTCTTCTTGCAAAAGCTGGCGTGAAGGTGTTCAGCTTTCGGGTGCACACAGACCCACACGATCCTTCAGCTTGAGCACAGGAATCAGGCAGATTATTGACCCAAAAAAGGACATAATTTCATTTGTGAAATTTCTCCACTGCAATTCTTTCCAGGCCACTGTGCTAGATATTGTGCCAGATTGTTATGGAAATCCTCAAAACTATTATCAACTGCTAAAAAGCAAAAGTCAGGGGCTGGGGATGAACCTCAGTTGTAAAGTACTTGCCTACCTTGTGGTTGCTGGGTTCATTCCCTGGCACCACACACCAAAAAATGTTTTTTCAAAAACTGAGATCTAATTGACTTTAAATGATTCTCCATTTGGACCCTACGCCTCTGGCCAAGCAGTGTCTGTTAGTGGTGACTACAGTAGAATCCTTCTCAACATCTAGCTTCCTTTTTAGTATCGTACGAAAATACACATCCAGTTCATGTTTCTCTGCCATTTTTCTGTACATGTCTGTATAACATTCATGTGCAGTCACTGTCACTGTCACTGTCCTCCTGTTGTTCATCGATTTGCTCCATCGGGCCCAGTAATGTCTCCATTTTGAGACTTGTTGTTACTGTGTTTGGCATATTGAATAGTCACAGGGAGCTTGCCAGGCTTTGCCCTGCGGGTAAGATACTCTCAGTAGCTTGCTGGGCTCTCTGAGAGGGGCTGAGGAATTGAACCCAGCTCAGCCGGGCTGGCTGTGCACAAGGCAAATGCCCTACTGCTGTGCTATCGCCAGATATGTAGGTAAGGAATTATATGTCCTGCAGTTGCATGTCTCACTATTCTTCCTGATGAATATTGTATGTAAAGGTAAAGTAAAGGCCCTCCCGTTGATCATCGATTTGCTCAAGCGGGCCCAGTAACGTCTCCATTGGAGACTTTGTTGTTACTGTGTCTGGCATATCGAATACGTCACGGGGAGCTTGCCAGGCCCTGCCGTGCGGGCGAGATACTCTCGGTAGCTTGCCGGGCTCTCCGAGAGGGGCGGAGGAATCGAACTCGGGTCGGCCATGTTGGCTGTGTGCAAGGCAAACGCCCTACCGCTGTGCTATCGCTCCAGCCCAATATTGTATGTATTCCTGAAAAACTACTAGAGCACGTCAAAGTTGTTACATTACTCTATCTCGGCTAGCATAAAACTACACCCGTTAGCCCCGCTCTTTGAAGCTCTTCTCCAATTTACATATGGAGGAGTGGGGAGATATACTTCCCAAGTTGTTGTTACATTGCCAGCAAAGGCACTCTTTTCTATTGAGTTATTCCTGTGCTTTATCTGGGACAATATGCCACAGAAATAGCAACTTCTATATTTGGGGTGGCAGCCCTTTTTGTCCTTCCCTCAACCCCATTTTCGCACCTGCCAGGTCCACACTCTCCAGGTCCACACCATCCACGTCTACACCATGTGATCTGGGTCTGTTGCTCAGCCACCAGTTGGATTTAATACTTTACTTATCCCCACCCAAAGCTATGTCTGTCCTCTGACCGGCAATACCCAAGGTAAGCAAGTAAGCAAAATTTAAAATGACCCATACGTTTTAAATCTTCACCCACCTCCATACCCACATCCTGTACTTCCATCACGACACTCACACACACACACACACACACACACCTCTGATGCCTGAAACTGCTATTAGGTATGGTAGTAAGTCAGGGTTAGTCCTGGCATAAACTCCGTTTTGGACTTTTGGGCTTGTTTTCCCTATGATTAACACCGTATTTGCAGGGGACTGTGGACTCATAAAAATTCACATGATCACAAACATCAAGTATTCAACCTGAACTCAAATCTGTGACTCCTGAAGTTAACAACATTGCCTATCATGACGTTTTGCTTCTGAATAAGTTCTGTTTGTTCATCTCTGACTTAAGCTTGGAGTTCTGGGGAAAAAAAAAATAAAACATGGTTTCTAGTCCGAATCTGTTATAAATCTAAGTTCACATAAGATGATATTGGTACAGTTAAGTGTTAAATTTGTAGAAAATGAATTATGAAATGGTCATAGAAATCAGAATTGATACAAAATTTCTTTTTAGCAAGGGTTTGTTAAATAAACTATATATTTGCTTTAAAAAATTAGCAATTAACAGAAAATAAAAAGGTAGATGAAAGACTAATGTAAGGAAAATAAAAAGGCATAAGTGATACATCATAGTTTAAAGTCAGGAAAAAATAAAT